AGGGCTTCCAGATACACGAAGCGTGTGTCGAGATGGTTCTTTATTTTGATTAGGTGAAGTCAAATGAATGACACTACTCAGATCTTGTATGCGATAAGAGAGTTATTAGGAGTAGGAAGGATTTGAAAGTGACCAACTTGGTCTCGTGTGTTGTTACAGGTATGAGGGCTAATATCACTTCCCGGCTGCCCACACCGTGGAAGGGTATTTCTTGAGGGACCTGAAAAAGAAGTTGGATTAGTGTTGGTCTGAACGACCTGGGAGCGTGACCGCAGTGCCCAAGGGACAACTGCTTGAGGTCTGTCACGCACGGCCATTTTGTGGGGGATTTTTGACGTGTTAACTCCGTTCTTCAAAGGACCTTATCGCCGGAGACGGAAATCCGTGGGATAAGGCGAGGTTTGCATTTTTAGGGTCGACCTTTTCTAACCCCACCCCTCCTTGTGGGAAGGCAACATCGCTGTCTGAAGGAAACACCTTACTGCCGTCACATCTCTGTACAGTCGGCAGTACGACTTCGCCTTCGGACCTTGGGATTGCTGCTTTTAGTCTTACCGCTCTTCAACCGACCTGTCTGGCATGGTAGGACCTCGGGGAACGATTGTTCCAGCCAGGATAGCTCGATTGGTTCATCACGATAGGCAAGCCCGACCATCACGTCAAGGTAGCAGCAACGGTCGACCGACAAAAAGGCGACGACGTGTGTCCCTGTCCCTCAGAGTTCTTACGGAGCCGTTTAGCCAAACAGAACATAGGTGAATGTTAACAAGCATCCATTTTAAAAGTGATTGTTCTGCCCTCATACTTAGTGCTATTACCTACACTCGTCAGTTCACGAGGGTTAGCCATCGGGTCATCAGACAAACGGAGGGTTTATCTCGTTGGATTCCCATTTCTGCGAGGTGAGGTTACGTGAATGATCATACAAGAACTCTGTATGTGTGTTTGGAAGACACAGCGTACATCAATGGTACTAGATTCTAGGGTCTTGGCCAAGAAGACTTGCTGGCCGATTTGACATAGGGTTTGTACGTTGAAGGCTCCAATTTGTAGTTTGGAGCAAAGTTTCAGTAAACCTGAGACAGTTCGCGCACTAGAATCGTTAGTCATGGTGACATTTGAGAAGGACGTTTATAGTTGAAGGTCGAGGTGTAAAAAATAATAGGAGTTGAAGAGGGAAATCGATTATGAATACTTTGGTCTCGAGTGCTGTTAGAGGTATGAGAGTGGTTATCACTTCCAAGTTGTTCACACCGCGAAAAGGTTCTTCTAGAGGTACCTAAAAACTTAAATTGGGTTAGAGTTGGCCTTAGTGACCTGAGAGCCTGACTGCAATGCTCAAGAAAAAACTGCTTGGGCCAGTCACACACGACCTTTGTGTGAGTAGTTTTCTTGTTAACTCCGTGCTTGTTGGGACCTTACCACCGGAGACGGAAATCCACGGAAGTGCGAGGAAAGAAACAAACAAAAAATGATCCCTTGAGTAAGTGTTTTTTAAGGCTTCAAAGTGATAGACACAACACAAAAGGTTGAGACTTCTATGTTTCTGTAACTGAAAAATCCGACCTAAATAAACATAAAAGAAGCCTTTACACCTTAGGATACAATCAGAACTAAAAGATTTGCTCCTTGAGGAAAAATACATTTGCTCTTTTTAGTTTTTGCTCCCTTGTGTGCGTCGTTAATCCATCATATAAATATAAAAACACTCAAAAATGCTAAGTATTAATAATTTTTTACCATCAAATAGAAAGTGGATGACTTCACGTCCGTTAATTACATAACTGCTTAGCATTGTGATTCTGAGTGACCTGCAATCCAAGTGCTTCTTGTTTAAAAACCTGCAGTAAGAGTTTTTCTCTTTGTTTTGTAGTAGCTTATATGAAAGTTTTAAAGAATGTTCATGTGTGATTACTCACATGACTTTACTTGGTCATTGTATTAAATCTGTGGTACATAATCATCGGTCATTCGATGTTCAGTTACCGTTTCTTTAGGGTGTGGGAACCGTTGTCCACAAAGTCAGTATCAAAATGCACGCTGAGTTTGTTTGACCTCAGTAGTGTCCTAAACACAGTAATCTCAACTTGGTAGTTGCTACTTTTCCGGATGGTTTCGGCCTTCCAAAAAACGGAGCTGACTGGAATTTGTCTGTGTTGTCGCTCATACCAGATTACATTAAAACTCACCAGTTACATACCCTATTTTCTATAACCCACCACTATTCCAACATCAAATGGATTCCAAAAATGACAGAACTTGATTTAATTTCAGGTGTGGTGGTGGATAGATCTTTTACCAATAGATTAAACAGTCATTTTAGCAGTTGGATTAGTTCATGTTTATTAAAGCTACTCTTTTATCACTAGAGGCTTTCTTGGTTTAGAGAACATAGAATGTTTGTTAATATCATTCTAAGACCATTAATCAGTTTTAGGCCATTTAAATCAACCATTGTTAAAACCCGTAAGTATAGTGTTCTCATTGTACTATCGAACTAAGACAATTTTAGCAACTGACGAAAATAGATATTCTATCTTCTGAATAAATGATGTTAAGTAATCCAAAGATGCATGAATCTTTTTAATTGTCCATATTCTGGTCGAGTCAGACCGATGAAATATGGTTGTCAGTCTGACCCACATATAGCCAACTCATTTGGTTATCAAATATTCAGTCTAACATTCCTGTTCATGCTCTTAAAATTCTTAATTTGTCTGTTGGTTGTGTCTTTTACATTCGATAAAAATCAGATAGTACCGAAGCTTGCTTAGTTTATTTATTTAGCCGAAATATTGCAAAACACTGGTTTTGGCAGTTTACAAACATCGTATTGACACCTCTATAGTAATTTCTATACGCATCGCAGATGTTAAAGCCATCTAGGAAAAGCGATTGATTTACACTTACTTACTTACTTTCGCCTGTTACTCCCAATGGAGCATAGGCCGCCGACCAGTATTCTCCAACCCACTCTGTCCTGGGCCTTCTTTTCTAGTTCTATCCAGTTCTTGTTCATTCTTCTCATGTCTGTCTCTATTTCTCGGCGTAATGTGTTCTTTGGTCTTCCTCTTCTCCTTTGACCTTCAGGATTCCATGTGAGGGCTTGTCTCGTGACGCAATCGGGTGATTTCCTCAAAGTGTGCCCTATCCACTTCCAGCGCTTCCTCCTGATTTCTTCCTCCGCTGGAATCTGATTTGTTATCTCCCACAGTGACTTGTTGCTGATAGTGTCTGGCCATCGGATCCGAAGTATCTTGCGTAGACAACTGTTAATAAACACTTGTATCTTCTGGATAATGGCTTTCGTAGTTCTCCATGTCTCCGCCCCATACAATAGAACTGTCTTGACATTTGTATTGAAAATTCTAACCTTGGTGTTGGTTGACAATTGTTTTGAGCTCCAGATGTTTTTCAGTTGTAAGTATGCTGCTCTTGCCTTGCCGATCCTCGCCCTCACATCTGATCGTCTACGTGTGTCGTGATTCTGTAAATTGGTCTGGTTCCATATTTTCAAAGATATTCTACTTTGCTAGTCATTTATGCTGCTATTCGGTGTCAGTTCATTCGTAAGCTTGCGTCAATAACTTGTTTTCTCTCAGAAACCGTAACTTACGGGCATCACATCAGTTTGGACTAGACTGTGTAATATTATACGTCTTAAAAAAACTATACTTTCTTCCCCTTTACCAATTCATGGCCCCATCCACATCTTACAACCTATATTGTGTCAAGTTACATTTATTTTAATCTTTCCTTGATTGTTTGTGAGTCATTTTATTGGTTTTCCAAATTTAAAATTGTGTTGTCATAGAACTTCCAGTAAAGCCCTACTATGTTTACCGAGGTATAGTTATCCCTAACTATGAGTATTGATTTATAAGACTTAATTGTGATTATTATAAATAACATTCGAGCGTAACTGTTTACTGTTTTTGTCATGCTGAGATTGCACTTCATGAAATTTGTCAGGCGATTCACCTAAGTTGTGAATTTATAAACTACAATGTATATCATCTGTTTGTGTAAATCCTTAAATGGTTTCGTCTTGGCCCCCAAATACCCTGGTACGGCCGAGAGTGGGGAGAGTCACCTCTCCCTCTCGAAATGCTCTCATATGGCCAGCGAATATATAGCCTCTGCCAGGGAAGTCCTACTCACTGCCTTCTCGTGACAGGGGTGTTGTTCACGAAAGTGAGATGACGAAAAGAGAATGTCCGGCGCTTTAACCGGTTTGGTGGACACGAAAAGACCACCTAGGGGAGTTGGAAAACATTGATTCCAAACCAATGGTGCACATGCGCTCCAGTATCCTGAGGGATGAAATGGCGTTTGAATCAATCGTTGGTCACCGGCTACCATGGGACTGCATCTCCTCACGATGCTCCACTGCCTTGTGGATCAGACCTTTGGGTCAAAAGCTCCGAGTGTGACCCCCTAAGAAAACCACCTGTTTCAGTTTGGGCACTTGGGCAGTAACACAGCCCTCACACAAATCGAATGAGATTTGTGTGCCGCATATATATCTGGTGCTTCCTTGTACCAATATTTATGTGTTTAAATAAATAAATAAAATAAATATCATCTGTTTGTGTAAATCCTTAAATGTAGGGGAGTTTTCTAATTCTTTCACGTTGCATCAACACAATACGAGCAAAATAGTCAGACTTCTGTTATGCCTATATATCTAAGGTCATAAGAGTATTGTGCAGTATTATGGATTGTGTGGAAGTTTTTATTGATGAAATTAAGCTTTTATATATTCCTTAGAAAAATATTCACTAGATATTTGTCAGGTTGTCAGGGAAATGATCAGTTGGACAGATGGAATTAAATCAAAGGAGCTCAGATTACAGAATAAACGCTGTATTTTTATTACGTTATCTGTTCTCATATCTTTTTCGCCGTAATCACATTTATTCCATAAACTTACAGCTTTCTTTAACACTTCGGGCTATCGCTTACACATCTGTGTTAAAAATGTTTTTTATTCAAAATAGTTTCCACTGATTCTGAGGACTCACTTAAAGTTCTAACTTCTAAAGATACTCAAATAAACGAATTCTTTTAAATATCGAGCGCTATTTAGAATTTGCTGAATCGCAAACAACTCAAGAGTAAGGTTTCATCGATAACCACTTGGCTTTTATATTTGCAAATCAATCTGGGACCAATGAAACATTGTCAACTGATTTTGCGTGATGTCCCCGAAAACACAGAGTTAGGGATTGATCTGAAGTTTTGGAAGGTTGGCAAGCACTTTAAAGGCATCAAAGATATACCTCTGGGAATACACTTTGTCTACTATAGGTAAGTTGAGACAATCAAAAATTGTCTTATAACTCGAGAGTGGTCTTTTGATTTCTGTTACAGTTTTCGTCTTGTGATTGGTCTATAGGTTTCCTCCTAAAAATCTGAGATTTAAGTAGAAAAAGAAAGACAGAAATTGAGTTACCCTGATGAAATATGATTTTTCAGCCGACTTCGATAATAAAATTAATTAGGTCAGGGAAATCCCTGGGTATAATAAATCATCTGAATACTTTCCTGAAAGTGGACATTTTTAGGACGATAAGAGATTTTTCACTGTTTTACTCGGGTTTTCATTAATATGTATGACGAGCATTTAAGTCGACTATATTGTTGATTTTGTATAGCGAACATTCGGGTATTGTGATTTGTTGTAATTGGTAATTATCTAACCTGTGACAACTGGCGAAACCATGAAATTAAACCCGCCTGTAGACCATCATATAAGAAAAAACTGTTTCTCTCTTTTAAGGAGAGATGTTTGGCACCTTGATTTTCCATCACTTCTCTCTTACAGATCAGATGGTATCCCTAACCGTTATTTGATGATTGTATTTTCAAGCTTGTGATTGGTTAGTAATTCATATAAAGATTTTACCTCAAACATCTATTTTGGCAGTACAACTGTAGAGTATCCACCCTCAGTTAAATGGGATGTTTGTAAGTGAGCATTTCTTTCTCAACACTTGTAACGTCTGAGCGTTAATAAATTCGTACTCATAAAATATATTATGCATGGGGATTTTGTCAAAGTGGGTGTGATATAAATTATTCTCTTGGTAGTTGAATGATTAGTGAAAGAAAATGGTATTCTAGGTTGAGATAGCTGAAATAGACCATGAAGTGTAGCTTTTTCCGAGACTGGCTAGTAGAGTTACCCACTTAAATTTTAATTAGTTTAAAGATTTGTGAAGTGATATACACAACTTCTATTGTTCTGCTTATCTTTTTTTTAAACAGTGCTGTAAATTCAGATTGTATGTCAGGGCAACGTGTTGGATTCGTAGCGAATTTCTCTCAACCTGGTTTTATTGTTAAGAAGTGGCAAAAAGAAGAAGAGGGTAATTCGTTATATATTGCTTAGAAGACCAATAACGTTTTCGTCTTGTCCAGATTTCATAGATATTAATTTAACTGATGACGAAATAGAACGTATTATTTCGAATTTCGATGAAATTTCTATGTATCTGGGGCAGTATCCTGCAGAGTCGTAAGTCATTTAAACCAGGATTGACTTAAACAATTACCGTTTAAAAATCAGAACTCTTATTATCATGATATTTTCTGTCTAATCGTCAAGTTACTTATTTTATAAAGTTTTTAGGTTCCATGGTAGCTTATTTAGAAAGTTAAATGTCTGTTGCTCTTTAAAGGGGTTATAACATCCTAACGGATACACTTGATAGCCCATACAAATCAGCTAACAAGGATTATCGGGATTTAAGCTCGTTATACGTTCTGTTGACGACTAACTAATCTTTTGAACGATCACTTAACTTTCCTTTAACACTTCTTTCTATTGTTTCAATAATATATTTCGTATATCATGTAACGCTGAGATGTTATTATGAAATGATTTATTTAATCCATGTTTGTTTTTATTTCCTTTGTTATCATATCGAATTTGAATTTCAAAGTGAAGCAGTAATTTTTTATGTGACGGTAATTTGTGTTCTAAAGGCAATAAAGACATCTTTATTGTAATTACGTAATAGTTGGGTTTTCAGTTTCAAATAATATGACTCGTGTCATATTTCCTTTCCTTAATTAATCCGGAGAGTTACTCAGAGAGGAGGATATTTATTAGTTTAAGCGTGAATATGATTAACTGTTTTCTGAAAACAAATTTTTTACCAATAACAATTCTGCTCACAGATCAGTGAAAATCTGCTAGACATTAAGGAGCGCTGTGGTGTTGTTTAGTCCTATCAAGTCAAGTGTATTTAAAACTGTATTGATATTAATCTTCATTGAGTTACTGATTAGTATTGTGTTACAATGCAAGTAAATGGATTAATTTGTGCATAATTTATCATGTTTTTTGAGACTGTGTTTAATATTCACCAGATCTGTTTCACCTACCGAAATTCTCAGTTTTATCTAGTTTCTAATGTTATTTTATTTTAATATATCGTTTACATCTCCAACTCTTTCTTGTAAATCTAGACACAGAGATTGGATTTCGTTGTCTAATTTTATAACAACATGTACATTAACTCGTCTTGTTCCCTATTGTGGTCGTCTATATTCCTGTCCACACTTCTTATCTAAACCCTCGAATACCCAAGAACGCCTGGCTCTTAAAACATCCCATACGACTGACTGTTCAAATAAAAATTCAGAAGACCTCTTACCGAATTTATCTATTATTCCTGGTACAGAGGTAAGCATTATTTTGTTTGCTTTTCACTTTTACAAAGCTAACGGTTTTTATAATAATCTTAATATTTGAGTAATATTCAGTTGACATTTTCAAGCTTCATTCGGTCTTGGTGATGTAAACTTCAAGCAAATATCTTAGACGATATCTTACGGAAATGTGACTCATTGGTTTTTGTATTCCACTTAAAATCATTGAATTCCTGGTTTATCAAGATGTAAGCACCTAGGTAGCAGTTTGTGTCATCACATAGTACATGTTTATGGATTTGTTTAGCAAGCCTGTTCTCTATCTTGTGACCTGTATAAATCTTAAGTAATGACTCAACGTCCTTTTTCTCAGCAGTAAAAAACCGTAAAGTGTTACTTCAATCTAATACTGATTGTCCTTGTAGTGAGTTCACTATTATTCTGAACAAGAAAACACTTACTATTACTACTCGGCCCTGGTACGGCCGAGAGTGGGGAGAGGCCACCCTCCCTCTCGAAATGCTCTCACACAACCACGCGTATATAGCCTCTGCCAGGGAAGTCCTACTCACTGCCTTCTCGTGACAGGGGTGTTGTTCACGAAAGTGAGATGACGAAAAGAGAATGTCCGGCGCTTTAACCGGTTTGGTGGACACGAAAAGACCACCTAGGGGAGTTGGAAAACATTGATTCCAAACCAATGGTGCACATGCGCTCCAGTATCCTGAGGGATGAAATGGCGTTTGAATCAATCGTTGGTCACCGGCTACCATGGGACTGCATCTCCTCACGATGCTCCACTGCCTTGTGGATCAGACCTTTGGGTCAAAAGCTCCGAGTGTGACCCCCTAAGAAAACCACCTGTTTCAGTTTGGGCACTTGGGCAGTAACACAGCCCTCACACAAATCGAATGAGATTTGTGTGCCGCATATATATCTGGTGCTTTTTTGTAGCAATATTCATGTGTTCAAATAAATAAATAAATTACTATTATTACTACTGCACTGCCTGTGGTATTAGGACGTGTAGTATTGCCAATATAGTGTAACTGGGTTATCAAGCCCCTGCCATCACATCGGGGTAGAGACTATGATCAGAAAGTTTAGTGTTATGCAGTCCGAATTATTTTGTGTCACTTGTAAAACAACACATTGATTTTTGATAAATTCGCTAAATTTCTATATCTCACCCACCTCAGGTACGTTTTACTTCAATTCCAACAAAACCACTTTATCCACCACTTTCATCTCCATCGGAAATCACTGCACATTGTATGGATCAAACATATACCCTCTGTACTACTATAGACGTAATCTTCTCGAGCATCACATCTGAAAAGGCCAGTGGCCTAAGTAAGGAACTGGAATCTACTCGGGAACTGCTCGGTGAATTTCAGTTTGCTTTTCTCAATTTATTACTAAGTACGTATTCTTGTTAAATCTTGACAAGTTATATATATATATATATATAGTTATGTCCTATCGCCTGTCAAAAATATTGTGAAAAAGTTGCCAATCAGAACACCGACTTATATAACCTTGTCCCTGTTCTAAACTAATTGTGCGTCAACCAGCACGATCAGCCTTGATTCGACTCTGAGTCTTTATTGGTCTTCTGTATAGTAGCTTGTCGCCTTATCCAGCCCGGCTCAGTCCAGAACAAGAGTATCGACATCCTTTGTATGAATCGTATGTTTCAGACCAGACCGTATCGCACCATAAATTGAAAAATAATTATACAAGGTCAAGTCAAAAGTGGCTGTGAATTTGAGATACTGTAACTGATAAATTGGGAATAAGTTAAGATTGATAAATCGTATAACAGTAGCCAATAGGTCAAATGAAAGCTTATGATCTTCTAATTCAAATTTTACATTTTATTAGCTTTAGCAATATATTGGATACCATAGTAAACGCTTCAAAATATGCTTAAACCCAACTAGATATCTAATTCAATTTTTATGAGATTAATTGTTACAGTGATTTTATCGATGGATGTATTTGTCTTGATCTTCCCATTTTAGATCATTCAATAGAAGGCTGGGAACAGTGGCGTCGTATATTCCAATTACTTGCTAGTTGTGAGAAAGCGATTGTTGATTATCCTAATTTGTATATTGACTTCATTACAGTTATTTATCACCAGTTAAATAATGCAAATAGATCAGAGGTGTCATGTAGCGATTCAGCTGTGGAGTTACTGGATATTTTCTTTTCGGAATCATCTAGCTCAATTACCCAGTGCAAGTTAACCGAACCTGGCTTCCTACCAACTATGATTGGGCGTCTTTTGAAGAATATTTATTCTGTTTGTACTTCTGATATAACTAACAAAACATGTCCCAGTGAAACTAGTAATATTCTGAATGATCTCTTCAAACGTGCAGATGGCTTTGCTCATAGCATAAAACATCGATTCAAATGGGATGTGATCACTTCATATCAGTTATTACAAAGGTGTACTCCAAATATAACTGAAATTCCTATTGAAGAATTTGACTGGGACGGGGATGAAGCACCTGTCATTGTACAGCTGTAAACAAGTCTGAAATAAAAATTATTTTTAATTTTTTAATCAGACTTTATCGATATTTTGTCTGTGTCGATTGCTGCGTATTTAGTCTGTTGTAATATTTTAAGACATTTTTTTATTATCCTCGTTGCTCGCATGTTTGCTTCACTTCAGAACATTCTAGTTAAAATCAGCGTATTTTCAATGATTATTGAGTGCGGATTTGGTATGCCAAACAGAGATTTGTAATTCCAAAGCAAATAAAGCTACCTCAATTATCGCTTTATAAGAGAGAGGTGTGATTAGTTAATATACTTTCAATTTTTGACTTATTGTTCGCTAAGATCCCATATTTAGTTCATTAATTAAGGTAAAGCCTACAGGTTTGTTACTTCTAGCTACTGCAGCTCAGCAGGAATCTGACCGAAATTGTACAAACAACACCAGATTATTAATTTGTTTAATTTCGCGAACGGAATTAATAATAATCCAACTGTCGTAGGGTTGTTTATTGTTACTTCAGAAATTATGGTTGACATAATCGGTTGTGATGTGCCGTTTGAGTCGAATTCTTTATCTAACGTTATTGTCTGTACTTAGATACACTAACTTTACAATTACATATGGATTGCCAAACAGAGTGAGTCTAAACAATCACTCTTTGTGGTGGTTCATTAGAAGTAGTCGAAAAGTTCGTGCATCTAAAGTGCTGTATGAACGCTCCTGGTAGTGTGGCATTTGATGGCTGTCTGATTATGGTGAAAGCCAGAGGATTTCATGTAAATTTATGCCATCTTCGATGCTGCCATGATGTTAGTCTGATGGTTGATGCTCACATTTACAATACGTTAGTAAGAGCAGTTTTGGTTTATGGTTATGAAACATACCCCCTTTTACCTGGTTTTCGACCATCATTGTATGTGTGGTGCATACTTTTTCGGCGCCCGATTGTGCCAGAATTTATATGTAGTAGTGGGAGATTAGGACTAATAATGACTCATTATGATGGTCGTTCAGTTTAATATTCGATTGAATTCTGACAAGTTCAATCATTAATTATTTCTGTTGTATTTTACCAATTTTTGGTTGTGTCCACTCCTCGACTGTAGCTGCTGTCTTGACGTAGTGGACGGGCTTTCTTATCTTGATGGCTCAACCAAACTAAATTGGCTAGGACACATGTTCCCTTAGGTCCTACCATTCCAGCCAGGTAAACTGGAAAAAAGTAAGGTTAAAAGCACCAATTTATGGTCCGGGGGATAAGTCGTACTGCTGACTGAAGAAAGGTCTGATAGCAGTAAGGTATTTTCCTCGGACAATCAGTATCTGCAGCGATGTTACCTTCTCACAGCGGAAGCAAGGGGCTAGAAAAAGTTGACTCTAAAAACTTTACACCTCATCTTACCCCACGGATTTCCGTCTCCGGCATTAAGGCTTTTCAAATTGCAAAGCTAAAACTTCCCATAAAAAGGCTATGCATGACCGGCTTCAAGCGTTTGTCCCTTGGGCTCTGTGGTCTTGTTCCAAGGTCACTAGGATCACTAACTTAGCTTCTTTTCCAGGTTCCTCAAGAAGAAATGTCCTTCCACGGTGTGGGTAGCCATAAAGTGAAAACAATTCTTATGACTTTAACAGCACCTGATATCATCATGTTCACGATCAAATCCATCGCTCACCTCTTACCAATTTTCTTATCCTCACGACTAAAACTTCCCGCATGTCTTTACCACCATGCTCCAGCAGTGCTAATGACTTGAGTTCATAAAATCTTATTCCTAGTCTTCTGATGAAACCCCTCTAAACTACATTTTGGAGCTTTTAATGTTTAAACCTTGCGTCATATAAGAAAACAGGCTTTTTTAGCTAGGACTCTAGAATCTCGCGCCATCGATGTAAGATACGTTTCCGATATGCTCCTACAGGGTCCAAAGTAGCCATTCATCTGACATCACCTTGTCAATATGAAGAACCGGCGCGACTTGCCATTCATGTATCTGAAGACCCTGCCGGTACTTTCCGTGTCCTCGTTTGTGTAGGTATACCATCAAGTTCAAAGACAGTACATGCTTTGTTATACTGAATTTCAATAAACAGTCGCTTGTGCGCTGTCCCACTATACGAGACAGTACGAACTCAGAAAGATGGTGACACCTCGTCACTTAGTTGTGTTTGCCTACACAACCACTGATCGCAACTCGGATGAAGTAAAAGATGGATTTTATAGGAAGTTTTTCAGTCTCCGTAAAGCTAAATGCTCTGATATAGTAATAATAGCGGGATATTTAAATAATTCAAAGACTTATAAGTGTCGCGGCTCAGTAATCATAATGACATCCGTCTATTTCTGTCAGGCACCAAATTTAAGCATTTGTCAAAACACCATTTGACTTGAAAAGTCCCATAATTGGCTCAACAAAGGACTAAAAAAGACCACATTGTCATCAACCGTCGTCGGAGGGGCTCGATATGAGACTGCCGCCCATTTTGGAACGCATGTCTAGACTCAGATTATTCTCTAGTATGAGCACGTATTTGTTTGCATCATACCAGACGTGAAAAAACCACAACAATGAAACCCCCTCAAGTTCAACTTGATGAAAAAGTCGAGAATATAGTTCAGAAACAACTAGGGAATAATTTAGTCAGACATCAGAAGGATATCCACTCTGAGGTAGTTTCACATAATATACACATAGCTGTGGAAACAGCAGCGATATGTACCACAACTTAAACCAGAATTTTGAGAAAGATCTTCAAGCAACCTGAATGGGAAATTGATGTTAGTTCTCTAACTTTTAGTGTGGTTAAAAAGGCTATGGGCAATTTAAATCAAGGGAGAGCAGAAATTTCTGTTAGACTAACGCCTGAGATTTTTTAAAATGGGAATCCAGTCTTAGCAGTTAGATTTACTAAGATATTAGGTAGGATCTGGCAACGATGCAATCCCATCCGACTGGTCTTGATCGCTAATCGTCCCAGTCTAAATGAAAGGATGAAAAATCCTCTTGTGCCAATCACAATTTTATAGGGTTTAGAACATTAACCTCAATAATACTTCGACGTCTAACTAGAGCTCCTAAAGAGCAAACCAAAGAAAATCAGGCTGGTTTTAGACGTGGACGTGGATGCATAGATCAAATATTCACCTTTCTTCAGATCGTGGAACATAGACATACTTTTCGACATCCAAATACAGTTGTTCTCCTCGACCTTAAGGCAACATTCGACTCTGTTGATCATGAGGTTTTGTGGCAGTGTCTGTCATTGAAAGAGATACCAAAGAAGTATATTAACCTTGTGCAGGCTCTCTACTCAAATACTACTGGTTGAGTCAGGGCTTATGGCGAACCGCCATCGAAATCGGTTACTTCAAGTGGTGTTTGTCAAGGTTAAACACTTTACCCATTTTTATCCAACTTTTTCATAGACATGCTTTTAGCGATAACGATTTCGTCATCTGACGTTTTAGAGATTGATCTTCCAGGAGATTCACTTGACTTAGAATACTCAGACGATATGGTTGTGTTTGGTGAAGACGCTGATAAAATACAGTCTTCTGACCACCTTAAGCAACAATGAAAGTATGTTTGGGATGCGGTTCTCTCCCTCCAATTGTGAAATGAAACTTCAGGATTGGCTTGCATCAGCTGAATTAATGATAGGGTAGTGAAGTAGTTGAACACATCGACCGCTTCACTTATCTTGGGAGTCTCATCAGTACTGGTGTCTGACAAGATCACGGGACGGATTCAGAAGGCTGGATTGGCTTTTGTCAGCTTGCATCACTTGTGGAGTGGGCAAGATATCCGTCTTTTAATCAGAGGGTGAGTTCACTACACAGAAGTTCACTCCGTTGTATTTAGTGGATGTGAAACATAACCATTTAGAGTAGATAATGTTCCTAGGTTACTGGTATTCTATCATAGGTGTCTACGAAGTATTGCTCGTGTATTTTGGGGCCATTAAGTATGTAATGCATGGATTAGAAATAGGGTACTAGATAAGGATCGTTACGTGTGCCCAACCAACCACGTGCCACGTTGTTTGGTGTAAGAGTAGTCTGGAAGAAAGCTAGGGGCTTCCAAACTTAAACACGGCGTCAGTCTATGGAGCATTGACAATTGGACTCTGTCATGTTTATAGATGTACACCAACTACCTGGTTGTGGTCGGCGTGATTATCGTAACCGATAGTTAAAGACACTGAACATGGCTCGAAATCATTTGCAATGATTCAGGTGCATCTATTCTTCGTCTTCCGCCAAATTCCAAGTTTCTCAAAGCCTTTTTTTGTTTTTTTTTTCGAATCATATCTTCGATGCCTAGCCTTTTCTATTATCACTGGTACTGTTACTACATGCACTACTCTGGAATTCGCTCTGACAACTTCATTCTCCCGTGCTAATAGGTAATGACAACTTGAACTGGTGTGGATACCTAACAGATTTTACGTTGTGACTGTCTGTTTTACTAAGTTTCAACATGTACTCAGTACAAAATTCGTTATAATTATTTAAGTGTATTTAATAATCATCGAAAAGTAAAATTGTACAGAAAAAGTATATTTACATAAGACGTGCTCTCAGTCGCCGACTAGACTTGCTTTCCATTGTCTGCTTAATAGTTGAGGGCTGGGTCGAGAGTTAGATAAAGTATTCTCAAAATCCCCATTTAATTAGTTTAGTTAGTGACATTCCTCTACTTATGATATTTCGGTTGCTGTAAATTCGTGTTTATGACCACATGAACTAAATGGGCTTATTGATAATTGTAGGATATGCTGAAACGAGATTATGTCATCTCATTGGAGGGCAGGAGAATTAGTAAGATGTTGAGATTCTGTTTGGGCAGAACTTTTCTTTTTTAAGTGGGTTGTCTCATGTGACAGCATCTAGAGCGAGAGTGGAAAACGGTCATGATAAAAAAGTGACCTTAGAAACGTGATGCGATGCGCAAAAATTAGGCTGAACTATCTGGCCTTAATCGATCGAAGAGGAAGTAAACTAAAAACTGTCTTATTCCAATCACTTACGGCTTTTCATTTTTTGTGTTAATATTTTATGTATAAGCTTATCGCTTTATTCCAAAAAACATATTCTTCTGGTCACTGGTCTTGTGTCTGGCTTCGAATGCTTAAATCAAGAATTTTTGCTTGTGAGCAGCCATCACTTAGCTACACTTCATTTATCGGTCAACTCTATTCATACAGAAGGTACTGGACACGCAATTGCGAAACAAACGACAAAAAAGTAACTGACGAGTCCACATTGTTTGAGCTGTTATGCTTAACTTTTTTCTAGTAAAGGGATATATACAGAATATACAAGCCAATTTAATTTAAAAATATCTGACTCTTTTGAGTTGCGTTGCCGCTATAATCTTTTTCAAGGATTTGCAATAGGGTATGCTTTAACATCACTGGTACTTAAGAACGTCTTCATTATATAAGTGGAAGCCATGGCTACCAGGTTTTTGAATAATAGGATTTGGTGTGTTTATTTATTTTCTTATTTGAACACATAAACATTGGTAAAAGAGGACGTCAAATACATATGCGCCACCTAATAGCAATGATACCAGTAGCAGTTATGACTGATATGTGTAAGGGCTGTGATACTGCCAGGGTGCCCAGACCGAAGCAGCTGGTTTTATTAGAGGGCCACACCCGGAGCTTTTGACTTTAAGGTCTTATTCACAAGGCAGTGGAGCAAACTTAGGAGATTCAGTCCCATGGTAGCCGGTGACCAGCACTTGTTCCTTCAGGATCCTGAAGCCCATGTGTACCATTGGTATGGAATCAGGGTTTTCCAACTCCCATAGGTGGATCCTCCATATCCACCAACCTGGTTACGGCGTCGGACATTCGCTTTTCGTTCTCTCAATTTCGTAAACAGTACCCCCGCCACTAGAAGGCATTGAAAAGGGCTTTCCTGGGAGTGGCCGTATACGCGTGGCCATATGAGAGCATTTTGAGAGGGAGATCTGACTCTCCTCACCCTCGACCATACCAGGGCGTTTGGGGGCACAACTATTGAATGTTTTCCAAATAAACTATTAAGCACTACCTAGCTGTGTTTTCTATGGTTTTTAAATCCTTGATTGTAAATTCAACAACTGAAGTCGAGGAACAGAAAATCAAATCGTTAATGAAATAAATATTTTTGGGTTAGGTTGTGGATCACGGTTGTTCAGTTAAACAAAATCACCGAACTGCCCCGAATATTTCTAGCTCGATACTCATATGTATGTGAAAGAGTCCTTAAATAGCAGAAACATAAGTTCCCAACGACTAGTTTATAATAAAATGTCATAGTTTCCTGAAAAAGTTATCTTTAATTTGTCGATACAAACAACAGTTACATACGAATAAGCAGAAATTATTTTAAAAAGTTTAGCTACTCAGTTTTAATATAGTAGTTTGATGTAGAGTGCATTATATATATATATATATATATATATATATATATATATATATATATATATTAAAGACTTTAAAATTTACAAAAACTTATAAGAGTAATCGAAATGCCGGATATTATTGACATTGTATCTCTTGATAAACATTGAAGTAATAAATTTTGGTTTGTGCAATAAGAATAACATATACTTACGCAAGATATAGACATTCAACTTAGGTTATACTCAACATTTGAATGAGTGCAGAGAAACTGATTGACGACTAAGAAATAGGTAATGATTTATACTTCATATGTATAGTAACAGTTAAGGTCAAAGGAGAAAACAAATAAACTTCAATATGTTAAGACAAAATACTTGCCATACAATTATTATTACTTTGAATATGACCCTTTATGCGTATTTATATTTGTGATTGTGCGTTAATTGTTTCGTAACATACGAAGGTAACTTCGCAGTAATGCTTCAAGCTCAGGTTGTTAATATGTTAGTTGATGCTTTTTTTAGTGACTGGTGATTGCAAATAACTCTTTCAAGAAAGTCATTGTTACAGTTTTGATCAATGAATGTTGAAATATTAGTATTTTCACCATGTGAATTCACTGAGTTCGTCTGGGATGGAAATGATGTACGGATTAGTGATGGTCTTTCATAACCTAGTGAATCAACACCACCACCGGTTTCCATTAACCAATAAGCTGTTAGACTGCGGTTATTGGTTGACCCACTACCACTATAAGGCATAGTTTCTACCATACTGGTTGATTTTGAATTAAATGATTTAGAATGCAGTGGTTTACTATGTGCATGGTTGTAATTAAACGGAACTAGATGACTCCCTTTTTGATCACTGTTATTAGCATTAGTGGTACTGAGGGCAATGAACTTGTTATTGTGATTACTACTCTTATCATGATAACCCAAAGTTTTGTAAGAATTTGCTTTTGTGCCATTTTGGTCGCGTAGTAAGGTGTCTAGGCAAAAGTTTGAACTTGGTGGTTGGATTTGGTTTTGCCGATGTTGCAAATTCGCATTTGTTGAGTTTGTCATTTTATCGCTTCTGTTCTCCGTATTACCTTGTATTGACCGCGATTTCAGCTTAACAGAGGCTTGCCTATTACTTTCAGTACCATTCGATGTGGTCGCCAATGTTGTTTGTTCCGTGGATGGATCGGACATTGAACATTCATAAGCACCAGCCAGTGGGGCAGTCGATGACGTGTAATTTCGTTTCTCCATTAGAGACTCCCGGTAGTTGAACTTATTCATACTGATGCCTTCAACACCAGGTGTTACAATGTAACCACGAGTAACTGTTTCTGCATATGAACGGCTTTTTGTATGAAATGTCGATAGCTTCAAGTCTTTAGAATTGTTGGATGACAGTAAAAGTTGTTTACTGGAACTCATTCCTTGGGATAGATTGGTCTCATTAATTAGCGATGAGTCCATGTCGCTTACTGGGCGTTCACCATCTAGAGACGTTATGCGTTGACAGTTATTAGAAAGCATGCAAAGTGATATATCATTCGGTTCATGATGCGGTTTATTTGAACCATAAATGGATGCTTGTTGTCCTGATCCACCTATATGACAAAATAATAATAATAAGTGGTTAATATTTTTTGATTGTCACTCATAGTCTGTCATTTAAAAACGTTTAGGCGTGGAAGGTTGTATTTGTTCCAGCTCTGAAGTCTTATCAATAGAAACATAAAGGGTAACTAAAAATTCCGTTAATAATTCTTAACTTTCCACAATTTGTTTACATATGAAATTTTTGGTGGGCTCAGGTTTGGGTTCTAATGAATTTGAGGAGCCATTAACTTTCTGATAATTTCTTTGGAGTTACAACCTGGTAAAAATGTTTTTGACTCCAATGAAAACGAAAGGTAAATAGGTCATGTTAATTATAAGAAAAATAAAGTCGTTATATTGGCTTGAAAAATCTATGAATTAAGAATTAGTGGGAACTTGCAAAATCAAATCAAGAAAAGACTATCTACACATTCGGAGATCGAAAGGAGTGGTAAAAATACCTATTTATGAAGGTAAGTATAATGTCATAACCGAATCCTTATACTACAGAATAATGCGATGAGATGGGGTAATTTTATTTTAGATGAATGCTTAGTTAAATTCCTAACTTAATGTTACGATACTTTGGATCCGTAGTGCACCCATGGTTTGTGATTAAATAAAATACCGCTTGTATTGTTTTTTGTAATTCAAAAAATAGAATAATTAAATATTTTAAGCACGTTTAACTTTTAAAAAGTTTTAAGTCATACCTTGTAAACTTTTAGGCAGAGGCAACGATACGACAAATGGTTGAGAGAAGGGGCTTTGATTATTTTGTGAAGCCATAATGAATTCATCCATCTTTTTGCATAGCTGTCCAAATGTTGGTCTCATTTCTGTAAATCGACTCCAACATTGTAGTAGTTGATTATAACTGAAGGTAAACAGATAGTAATTGTTTTATTAGGCTGCTGTACAAAATAATTGAATAAATAGTGTGTTATGGTAGTGCAATTGTGCTTGAAAAGTATTTCATTTATCCATAAAGACTTCACTTGCATGGCAGATAAAAATAAAAATAAACTCATTATTGAAGTCTAAAATGGTAAAAGTCACTTTCGGACCTTTGGAGTATCTTCGAGAAAAAGAATGGCATTTTTATTATGACCTCAGTTGTATGAGCTCTACAAATCCAGCAGATATCACTAAAATAATGGTTAATGCCTTACATGGGGACTCATCATTGGACCTTTAAATGAAATTTTATGCCGAAATGTGTGGAATATTACAATGAATACTGTTTTATTTGATGTTCTTCAAAAATGTGTGATATAGGTTTCAGTGCTTATCATAGAAATTTCTTTCTCAGGGTGTGAAACAGTGATATATCAGTTCTGAAACCATCTTTCGTTCCAAAATGTATAACAATATAAGCGAAAAGATTAATTCGTTCACTTGTTAGCATATATATCCAATAATAATACTGTGAATAAGGACAATACAATACAATTTGTGGGGGGGGGAACAGTTTATTTCTTATACTTTAAATAATAATGAATTTAACACTTAAAAAATAATATACATTCAATATTTTTCATTTCGGTCGTCTGGATTATATTCTACTTCTTTGTTACGACCATTAGGTTTCGTTTCGAAGCATTTTCTTTTAATTTTGTCCTCATAGTGAGGCTTGAAGGATTAGTATCTAAATCTGAGGAACTGGTAACATTAAAAACTCGTTCACATCAATCTACATTAAGGTTGAGATACAGTTTCAAAGTTTTAGTCAATAACTTATTATTGTTTGCACTTACAGTTCTTCTGGACAGTTTTCAGGACGTCCCAAAACGTGTCCACCAATAACTAAATTCATGACATCCACATTCGCTCGGCCGTAAAATGGATCAGCACCTAGGGTTAAAACTTCCCAGCAGGTAACAGCATATGCCCTAAAAGGACAGAAAAAGTTCATAAAAATAAGGTAGTATTAACTTTGCTTACACATGGCCTATGATATAAAATAAATTTAATAATATTTTCGAGAGATTAAGCAAATAATGTAAATTTAATTCAAAATCACTTAACTGAAGGAACTTAGGTCTAAAAAGTCATAAAAATACAACCACCCTAACACTCAAACATTTTCAGAAGGGGGTTTTGTGGAGGTTTTAGTAATTTTATGGTTGAAATCATAAGCAAATTGAAGCTAGACCACTATGGAAAACCTGGAAGCACTGGACAGCGATTTCATTATATTGTGGGACTTCTCAGTAGTGCGCATTCACGATTCCGCCTCGCGAAATTCGAACTCAGGACCTATCAGTCTGTCCCGCGAGCGCCTATTTTCTAGACCACTGAGCCGGAATCCAACGGTGTTAATGTCTAACTTCAACCAATCCACGAAATTGAGCAACCGTCCACCATAGTCTTCAGTGAGTTACTATATCACAACAGACCCGATTGAACCCCACTGGTCACTGCTCACCAGAACTCTAGGAAATACCTCTTGGAGCCAGTCACTAGTGAGCATATGATCATTATCAAAAGGGGGTTTTATGGAGATTTTAGTAATTTTGTAGTTGAAATGGCGTGGCAGGATCGTCGATGCGCACTGCTGAGGAGTCCCACAGTAGGACTAAACGGTCGTCCAGTGCTTCCATGTTTTTCATTGTGGTCTAGCTTCAATTGACTCATAATTTCAACTACAAAATTACTCAAACATTTGTTTATATTATTAAAAACTGTTCAAGGAAAACAGCTAGTAGATTATTCTATAGGAAGGCTCTTTGCAAAGTGCAATAGTAGATTACTAGTTGAAGTATTAGGGTTTCAACCATTGGGTTCAAGGTATGAAACTAGCAACACCAAATTCCGTTTGAACAACCGGCCAGTATCAATACATTTCATACAGACAACGCGGTTCAAAGTTTAGTGCACAAACATTTACTTAGAAAAATGAGTTACATAGGAGAGTAGAATTTTATCTTCTCCAGGAACGTAATCAGATGATATTATTGCACCTCACTAGTCACTTACATTCATTTGATTGAAAAGTTCATTTTTATTTTGTATATTTTATATGAAACATTTGGATTTGTTCGCGATGACGCGACAAAATTTTAATGTAGGGCAGTTAAACTGGTGTATAATTTATTTGAACTACTATGAAACTAAAACCGTACCCGAAAATGTTCTGTTGAAGACATTTAATTGGGGTTTACAAGTTATTTACATTGTTTGGTAGGGAACTGAAACTTTATAAGTGTGTTAATAGTATTTTTCAAGAAAACAGTCGTTATTATATCCATAAGTTACGAGTTCCAATATCACAAAATGGTTTTACATTTAATATCACTCAAGGTCTATAACCGGAACATGGTTCGGTTTTCGTAATAAATTTTCTAGTGTAGTGGTTTGTTCCTATAAACTTCTGCCAACGTATTGTTCAAGGTAGTTTACTGTTGTTTTTTAAGCTTATATCACTATGTAAAGAAAGCTAACTTTATCACTTTAACTTCATATGAAGTCTTTTTTATTTATAATTTCTTATTCAAAAGAGAAATGTTACCAAACAAGCTATTTAAACAATGAAATATGGTAAAAATTACTATTTTGATGTACACACTTCGAGTATTCAGAATCCAATAGATATATTAAGAAGCATTACGTCAAACTCTAAATATGGTAGCAGAATTATTACTATAAAGCTATAGAGTCTAGTTGAAAAATTCTTTTCATTGGACGCTACTATTATAGCTGGATTTCAGTTTGTAAAGATCAAAAGAGGTTAGTTTGATGACAGTTTGGCCTGATTAATGTCGGTCATATTCATTGTAAAAATTTTATAGATGAAGTGCACTTCCGTTATCTAAGAACCTGTAATCTGCATGAAGCTATTTGCATACTTTTAAAATTATTCTTCATAACGTGTGCAATTGCTAGTAAGAACCCCGGAATTTAAAATTAGTTCCTTAGGACTACCATTCTATATAGTAAGTGACAAACGTTTGCGAAACTTGTATATTCATTAGACAGATTTTCCAAGGTAACTTATTGAAATTAATTTTTCTTCACAAGGTGCTTTCAAAAGAAGAGTTCAGTTATTCTTTGCTGAAAATGTTGGAAAAAATACCCCAGAATGCAATTAAGAATAATAACAATCAGTCAGAATGGGTTACTGTAGTTGTTAACCAAACAATACTCTAAAGAAGTGGCTGACATTAAGTCACAAAAAATCAGAAATAAAAATTTTCTACTCATTGGGTTATAACAAAAAGTATATTTATTATTAAAAGATAGAATAGAATTATTAATGTAAAAATCCAGTTTGTGCGTAAGTTCAGTCTAATAGCATTTAAAGGATTCATTTCAGGTTGGGGATAATAGACAGTGCACAATACGAGAAATGTATTCAGTGTAGGTTATAAATGAAAAAAACTGTGTATAATAACTAGTGAGTGGATGACCTTATTTATTCCTCCTTAAAAGGCCCGTTAAACATTTGACTCTGATGTTTATGTTTATGGATATAACGTAAACATTAGATGTATTCATACATTAGTTACATATTGACAATTATGTTTAACTGGACTATAAAAACAGTTCTATACTAAAAGAAATAATGATAAACTACTAGTTCATATATAACTTATCTATATCTAGACCACCATGGAAAACCTGGAAACACTGGACGGCCGTTCCGTCCTATTATGGGACTCCTCAACAGTGCGCATCCACGAACCTGCTCTCGCGAGCGAGATTCGAACCCAGGACCTTCCAGTCTTGAGCCGAAGCCCTTAACCGATAGACCACTGAGCTGGCATCCAACGGTGTTAATGTCTAACTTCAACTGATCCATGAAGTTGAGCAACCATTCACCAATTGTCTTCAATGAGATCCTATCTCACAACAGACGTGGTTTTGAACTCCACTGGGGCTTCAATTGACTCACGCTTTCAGCAATGATAAATACTAAATCTCCACAAAACCCCTTCTATAATTATCTGTATCTATTTATTTGTTTATATATCCATTTAAAAGATAAGCGAGTTCAGTGTATGTAGAATTTACGTTTTTCTATGCGTTGATTAGCAACATATAGCAACTATATAGGTACTTGTATGCTAACAAGTCCAAATACAAACTCTCATAATATGAACATTGATAATTAATTACTTTACATATTACATCTGGTTGTAACAAAAGTGTACATTCTGTGATTTTCTGTCTAAATGTTTTGCTGCTAAAACTAACGAAACCGTTCACATACACACACAAAGAAAAACATTAATTACATATGATTAAATAATTTCTCCACTAGTTTTTTGTTCAAAAATGCTTTTAGAAATCTTCACTAAACCAATTTAATTGCCAGAAGGGGTTTTGTGGAGATTTAATATTTTCACAGTTTAAAGCGAAACGGCCGTCCAGTGCTTCCAGGTTTTCTATTGTGGTCTAGCTTCAATTGACTCACGCTTTCAATTTAATTGCATATTTCAGCCAGCACCAAATCGTGACTCCTGACTAATTGTATGGATTGTTGTTTGGTAACAGACGTGACTAATTTTTAAGTTATTTAGGATATTTAATCGGCTTTTGAGTGTCATTATTTTACTTGATAATACACAAATGGATTTTTGTTCTCTTTAAATAATGTTATTAAATGAAATAAATCAAATCAAAGACTGTGATGATGTCAACTTTAAATTAATAGATTCTTTGTCCCATGTTTTTTCAACTTTAGACACACTTCATAGTCTATTAAGAGAACATTCGAATGCACACTTTATGAGTAGAGACCAGACGTACCTATACTATCTACCTAAGTAGATACATATACTGTAACATTTAACTAAAAATTAATTTTAAGAAGACTCATTTAATAAGAATGTTTCATAACTAACTAGCGTACAAAGTGCTAATACATAAAAATGACCAATCGAAAGTAAAAAGGGAAAAAAATTAACTCGTCAAGCGGATATCTCTACTATTCCCTATAAACATGTTTTTAGCGGAATTTTACAATGTAAACAACATCTCACATGTATCTACATTTAATCATACTTATTATTTATCTACGAAATCCGGGAAAGTTTGTTGAAGAGATGACAAGAAGAAACAGGTTTATGTGTACGTATGACACTTTGAAGGTATTCCATTTTCGATTACTGGATTTATTTACGTGATTAAGCAAAGAACTTCACTCAGTCTTATTATTCATGATAATAATCTAACCACGTATTCAACCATTGATATATATATATATATAAGCAATGTTTATTGTAGCTAGCGGGTTAGTTTTTGGGACAAATAATTCTTTCGAGTACTTATTAACGGATAAATGAATAGTGCTCAATATTACAAAATTATTTCTTTTCAATGGTATATACTGATGATCACATCGCGTAGTAATTATTCACGTTTACTAATATGCGTATAGAGGCCCATCTTAAAAGTTTATTTGATGAGATCTAACGTCTATTAACTACTGACCTCTAGTTGTTTTCGTTGTTAATCAGAGCATGAGCAGAAAAGTAAACTATTGAGTTAGGAAATGAATAAACCACTTGCTAGCATCGTATCTTAATAACAGGTGAGGAAATGTCATGTGTGTGATAATAAAAGATGAGAGTAAGTTCTAAACTTCACACCAGTAAATATGATTTAAACTGCTAGATATATTTTACCATAGAGATCATTAGACATAAGGCACTTTCCAGTGATCACTGAAAGTACGCCGAACACTGCATGGAATTTTTCATGTTGGTAACGGCCGATTATTTAATTTTATCCCTTGGTTGCGGAATTTTCTAACAGTGAACACGGTTAACACATATCTGATATACATAATCGGGTACATAAAACTCCTAGTAAAATTATTTGCTATGGCTGAAATTTGTTCAGAAATATAGATCATACAATTAATTACAACTCTATAGTAGTACAGGGTCATTTATAACTCTGTTTTAAGAAAAGATGCAGTAGATGTATATTCTTATTTAAGAGGAAATTGAACAATTTTCCTTTAATTTCTAAAGGTCAATCTACTGTTCTTCATACTGATATTGATTCCACGATAAATCTATCAATTGCAAAAGTTCACGATTTGCCTTAGTAGGAAAATTCATGCATTATAATTCTTCCGTCAAGTTTGAGATACTTTTTTTATCGACGCATGGTATTTTAACGAGAAGAGTCATAGAGTGTCATTTAGGTGAATTTCCTTCTCAGCTTATTTCTACTTTTCTATAAGCGTTTAGAGTGAATCAACTCACTAGAATCTGCCTAAATATTTTTCATGTATATGGAATACCAATATAGGGTTTTAGGAAAGGAGAACCGCTACAAGTGAAATTGTTTAGAAATATGCTGACAAATTTAACCTCTTTGAATTAAGACGGAATCTTCTTTATTGAAGTTTAAGGAAACAACATTTCCCATAATTTCAGAATAATTTAGCCTCCTCTCGTAATTCATCTTATTGGTAAACTTATTCAAATAATTAAAATGATATGGGTTTGTTTCCTTATTGAAAAACACAAAACTATCGTAACAAAACATTGTCATTATATTATTGACAAATGACCACTTCATTCAAAAAGGAATAAAATGTTTTCCACTAAGTGTTGAACAGAAGTACTCATATTTCCAAAAAAATAGTGTCGGTCATTACACAATGTGCAGTGTGAGTGATATTTACGATCATGCTTAAATTCGTTTTATGTTCAATGTTTATTTGTTCACAAGTGAACTTTAGATAGATAAACAGTATCACTTAATTCTGTGCAGCAATATGCCATACGTCATACGGAGTAATTTGAACATCCTTACATAGCAACGTAGTACCTATCAGAATCTGATAAGATAATTATAAGCCCACAGATTGAGTTCCAATAATATCTAATCATTTCAGATAGTTAATTCAACTTCATTTATAACTAGTTAAGACTGAATTATTCTTTTTATGTAGGCGAAAGGAAAAACTCCTTGACCTGTGTTGTCAAAAATGGGATATTTGCATCACGTTTATCTAAAAATTAGAATATAGAATGCGAGTTGTACATAAGGGTATTTCGGTGTTAGTTAATAATATCAATTACTTATCTTTGTGATGCTCATTATTTACAGATAAGCATATAAAATTATGGTCTATAAAATAACTTAAAAGACCTAGAACCACTTTGGAAGAAGCATGTTGAGTAATTAAAAGAAACATGTTATCCAGAATCCCAGTTGTATTAATAGTACACTGAGGCCTGGATATATGTAATAGTAGAGATGGTATGTTAGACGAAACGAAAACACTAGTGTTTCATTCAAACAGAGAGAAGATATTCTTTTCTAATAGAATACTCGTACATCAATATTTTCTAGTACATTGAACCATCATATTGTTTAGGTAAGCAAATATGGAACTACTTACCCACCTGTTATCAAATTAAGAACGATTCTTGGTTAACTATCCTACTGAGGCATTCTGTGAAAGGCTTAGCGAAATGAAAACAATTATAGATTTTTTTACATAGATCGAGATTTTAGCCAGTAGCCACAATACTAAAGGCGGTGATCAATAGGGAAATATTTGCTTACCTTACAGAAGTCCTTTTAAATATTTTTGTCTCTTCTTTCCTTTGGAGTTAAATTGACACATTTTCTTACTATAGACTTCTGTTAGACATAAAGTCACGTCATAGAAACTAATTGGTCAATGTAATCGCTGTATAGGTTTGAATACTGAAAAAGTTCTATTCTCTCACCATTCAGTTAGCAAACCGTCATCTGATATAAAACTGTGCATAATCAACAGACAGGAATACAATTTACTAACCAGTATATGAGTCTCCTTATTCATTTGTGAATTATTTTGATCAGGAACAAGTTTATGAGTTAAATATTCATGGGTGAAAGGAATAAAATGCTACCAACCCTTTCAACAATGTTTGCTATCTCCCTCAAGCATACTTTATCACATCGAGATAATTCTGATTTACAACAACTTAAAGTAATATTATATTCATGACGATTTATTGAAAAATCTGGGAACCTGTTGTTGAGATTGTATAAAATATTGAATTACAAAAAGTTGTTTGTAAGTACTGAACTTTATTAAACACCTATTTTCTTTCCCTAATTCGCTTTGCACCCAAAACGATCAATAAATTCTGGAAATTCTTTTACTAAAATGTTATCTATCATTTTAATTTATGTCTTCCTGTGCCTAACTGTTTATTGAAGTTGAACTATTATACTGTTGTTTTCACTAATTTTTCATACCTTGTACTTACTAAAGCGTAGATGAAAGGTACATTTAATGGTTTTCCGTTAGTTTTTTGCTTTTGTTTGTCAAAATATTTACATACAGAAGTAAAAATCAATAAATTATGGAGCTATAATCAGAGCGTTAGCTACTTGTGTATTATGGTATTGAACACAAAACATAATGAATGTTTTGATTATGGAGTTTAAAAACATGATGATTCCCACCTTGTTCATTTGGCTAGATGTAAGCAGAAGTCTTGGTAATAAATGCAGATGAGTAGATAATTTTGGAGTTACAGCCATTGAAGAACAAGCAGCTTGAACTTCTAAGGTATTGATCTTTCTCTACGAGACACTCGTAATTGAACAAATGTAAATCCTAATGTGGTGTGTGCTAACTGACTCCTTGGGAGAGCTTATAATCTTTATCACAAAGCCGCTATTATTTGACATTTCGTCATGTCAATTATTACCTCTTGAGAAGTAGAATGTTTATCTTTTCTAAATGAATAAAATATATTAAAACTACTTTTTTTAGGCTTTAGAACTGAATTTCGTAGCTTGCAATTCATACCGCTTTATAATGCTTTTATTAGATTTTATTCAGCTTTCCTAATAGCATTAAGAAAAATCTGTAATATGAACCAAAAAATGTAGTGGTTGCTAGTATCGACCATTTTCCACTTACCAAACATCAGATTTTGTTGTGAATAAACCATCACGAATAGCTTCTGGTGACATCCATCTCACAGGTAATTTGGGTTCATTGCGCTTACGATAGTAATCATTTTTATAAATATCTCGTGCTAGTCCGAAATCACACAATTTAACTATACGCCCACTTGAATGGTTATGACTCACTAAACAATTTCGTGCTGCAATGTCTCTGAAAAAAGAGATTATATGCATTAGTGAGTAACAGTTTAATACAATATCAATGCGAATAAGACATAATAATTTATTGGGAATTAAGTTGGTTTTCCTCAATAATAAGTAGAAGTTGTTGAGCCCATGGTTAGAAATAGGAATAAGCAGAAGTCTGAGGCTAGCACAACTGCCAAACTCTCATTCGGTTGCAAGTCTCTATTAAAATTAGGTAGTAACTAGCAGTGGAACTCAGAACATTCTTCTCGTTCTACATGTGACTTGTCAGCTGTATATCGTATCTGGATCTCAGCGCCGAAGATTACACTGAGATTAAGACACGGCATCTTGAGCTACAAACATTAACCCTCTATCTACTTAGCTAATGAGTTCAGATAGCTACTAGATTGTGCAACAGCTATGAATTTAGTTTATCAAACTTTAATAAAATCTTAATTTTTAGCTTGAAAAATTAAATCAGTCATCGAGATCAATAACTTTCTCATAATTAGCGAAATCTTGAAATGGGTAACATATTTACTTTAATATGTCAAATATGAATAGTCATAATCTGACTAAGTAGATGAATAACTTGTATAACATTGATTACTAAACAACAGAAGATTCGTTGAGTCTCTCCCTGGGGCAAAACGAAACACTGATGCTAAATGAGTGTTAGCGAAATGTATGTACACAAATGGACAGGACATTTGTTCATTACTAATTAATGATCGATGTCATTTAGAAAATAAATGAGCGAATTCATTTATTTTGGAGACGTCAAAAACGGAAACAGTTTGTAAAACTTGTAGAAAGTCATGCCGTCAATTGTAAAAGTCTGAGCAGGCCTTTTTATATTTTCTCTGTTCTTATATCCATCTTTTTGCTTCCTATTTTTGGTACTTCTTGACTTGAAAAGCGTTTATTAACATGGGTCAAAAAATATTTTTCTCAGATCCTGAACTCTTTCACCTATGTGTTTATTTCGTTTTTGTTAGGTGGATGTATGGCTTAGAGAAAACATCATGACAAGGATAAGATTTCTAAGCTCCATAGGGATTGTTTTGTCAAGAAGAGGTTTTCATAAGTGTTCAAGATGTCAGATATGCATATTTCTCTTTACAGGAACTTTTCATTTACGTACTGTTACTGTAACACAAATATTTTTATTGTTTTTCAGTTGGAAGTTTTCATCATTTATACGACTATTAAAATTAAAAACGGAATATTTTTAAGTGAAAATAACTCTATTTTCCTTAAATATTATTGGTCTAGTTGACTGTGCTATAAGTTACTGCTTATATTCCTTTTCCCAGAAGATTGTAGAAACTCATCACATTTCTTGGTAGTGTCTTTGGATTTATCAAACCTTTCCTTTTTTTATAGTTTGCAGGTTTTTTTAATAAGTCAGCTTGAAGTTAATCTCTTATTCCTGTTTCAGATTGATTACAACTAGTGTATCAGTAAAGAAAAGAAAGAATGTGTTCCATAGTTACTCTATGCATTAGGAACACATTATATGCATTGTAACCCCATAGGTACATTATTTCTAGGCTTTGAAAAACAGCCTCAGTTAAACAGTATAATGTTTCTAAATATAGATATCTTTACGTTGATTAGCAGCCAAATTTCTTTATGAGGAAAATTTAACTAATGATCATGAAAATACTTCAAATCAGTTACTGAAAATATCTAGACACCTCAGATATTTATTTCAGGTCTTTGATAACTGACAGTTTACAAAGGTAAATTCGATGATAAAGCCCCCTTTAAATAGTCACTGAATCATAGGATGCAGCGATACTCATAAGCGTTTGGAATTAGCTATCAATATATAAGTATCTTTCAAATTAATTCTTACTGGTATGTAGAATTGCCGTACCCAGAAATATTACTTAAGTGACTATTATGTATCATGATTCATGTTTATTTTTGAGTGGGGTTTAGTGAAATGGCTTATGATTCTCAGTAACGAGTCTTACGTTCGATACCAATGAAATACTGGACATTTACGGTTTGTAAGGTATTGTGTTACCCAATCAAACGAATGAATATTTCATAAACACCTTTACTCTGAACCAAGTGGCAGATTTATCCTTGAAATCATGAAACAAATACTTAGGATACTGACCACAAATACACTTGTTTATTTATTTTCCAAAATAGTAAGTTCTCTAGTATTAACCCGGCAGTAAAGCCATAATTTTCATAATAAGTAGGGTTGCATAAAAACAGGGAGTGGAGCTCTTACCTATGGACAAAGTGTTGCTCCTCTAGGTAACAGCATCCATGGCATATATCTCTCATTATATTGACCAGTGCAGGTAGATCTAATTGTGCTGTCAATGTAATAACGTTTGAAGCACTCGGTGTTCCACCACCTGGTGCTGTACTAGTTGTGCTCGTGTTTACTGAGGACCCATCAGAACCTCCTGTTCTTCCAGCAGCTGCGCAGATAGCTGCAGCAGCAAAAACATTCGCAGCTATGTCAGGTGCAATTCTGGGCCGCGAACGGTGAAGATAATCCCTTAAATTGCCTTGATCCATCATTTCTAGGACAAGACATTGTTGTCCAGGTGAGTCGAATGACACACCGAAGAATCGTACAATATTTGTATGCTGATATTTGTGCATAAGTGTCGCTTCACGTTTAAATTCAGCTTCAGTTAGTGATTTACAATTTCTTACCTGATTAAATCAAAAGCGAAAAAAATTGTTATCATATCTTTTCACCATCTTTGTTTGAAGAGCTAGCTTATGAGAAGTGGAATTTATTATATAAAACTTTTTTCACGTTACCCACGGAATATGATGATAAGCTTCACTGTAAACTAAAGCTGTTTTGTCCTTGATATAAAAATAGAGGATCTATAGTTAAACAACATTCTGAAAAACCCTAATCTTTTGTATTTCGGCCAATATCATAGCATTTATCGACCTCGACTTAGAATATTAGGCCTTGAACCTAATCGACAATAGTGAGTTTGACTTAAGGTCCTATTATTTTTGATCAACCGTAAAATATAACCAACTAAGCTTTTGAAAACTGTAAAATGGTCTATATATGATTAGACCCCCTACAAACTAGATCAGAATAAGAAATGAAGTTAGAAACATCCAGGATAAACAGTAAGTTGCGTAAAGAAATTTAGAGGGAGAATAGAATCAAACTATGATATTGAAAAAGTTACTCATTACTAGTTTGACTCCACCTTGAAATCTGCTTTTAGTCCTGGTTCGAAAGGTTGGTGTAATAATGATAATTTCTTAGAGTAGTCGATGTCTGATCATCGAATTTGTACCTATTATACTTACAATACACTATTTTTTTTGATTGAAAAAAAATTCCTAGAAAGGGTTTAAAGTCATGTTACGTAGGGCTGTGATTAATATGTTCATATGCCTCAACAGTAAATTTTCTGATTTCATCTCCAAGTGACATTAGAGAAAGAGATATTTTTCAGCTTTGGTGATACTCTCTGTTGGTGAAAGGGAATAAATAAGATATCGATCTGTAAAATTTATTGGCTTAATGTCCATTTTTAAAAGCAGAGCTTTTTGGTTGTTGTATAGATGTGATTGACACACTTTATTCAGTAGTACGGGTAGACTGAATGACAGTAGCTTCTACCCAGGGGTCTATTAATGCTTACTTACTTAATTATGCATGTTAACCCTCATGGAGGAGCATAAGCCATTCACCAGCCTTTCTCTTTTCCTTTTCCCTTCAAAATTCCAAGTTAGCGCCTACCTTGTGGTGCAGTTTGATGAGTTCTTCAATGTGTGTCCGATCCACTTCCAACGTCATTTCCTAATTTTCTCATTAGCTGAAACCTGGTTTGTTCTCCTTCACAACAGGCTGTTGCTGATGGTATCCGGCCAAAGGACATTGAGTATCTTACGTAGACAATTGTTCATAAATACTTGTGTTTTTTATTATGGTTGTAGTAGTTCTTCAAGCTTTAGGTCCATACAACAGAACTGTTTCGACGTTCATATTGAAGATTCTGACTTTGATATTGGTTGACAGTCGTTCTGAGTTTCATATGTTCTTCAACTGTAGGGATGTTGTCCTTGCTTTACCAATCCTCACCTTTACGTCTGCATCAGATCCTCCTTTTTCGTCAATGATGTTACCCACATACTTGAATGTATCCACCTCTTCCAAAGTTTCTCCCTCACAAGTGATTGGGTTGGTGTCCGTTGTATTATAGGATCTTGCATTTTCCTTTATTTATGTTGTGGCCTACTGATGTAGAGGCTACTGCTACACTGTTTGTCTTGACCTGCATTTGTTGGTGTGTGTGGGATAGAAGAGCGAGGTCGTCCGTGAAGTTGAGATCGTCTAGTTGCACGTAACGTCTCCATTGTATTCCGTGCTTCCCCTCAGATGTATAGGTCTTTATAATTCAGTCAACCGCCGGAAGAAAGAGAATGGGGGGAGAGCAGGCAACCTTGTGTAACTTCGATCCTCACTTGGAATGCGTCTGTCAGCTGTCCTCCATGCATCATTTGGGAGTGTAGTCCGTCTTATGAATTCCGGATGATGTTGGCGATCTTCTCGGCTACGTACAACACAGTTTCGAGGAAAGTCCCAGGTTCTCCCGCCCACACTGTCAAATGATTTTCCGTAGTCAAGGAAGTTGATGTATAGTGCCGAGTTTTATCCAATTAATTGTTCAACGATGATCCGTAGTATCGCGATTTGGTCTGTGAGTTTTTTTGCAAGATTATTTTCTACGGGATTGGGTTTCCGACCAAATGCACAACTCCCTCGTTTACCCGGGCTTGGGACTGACAGTAGCCCTAGATAAGTTACAGGTGGAGTTTCGATTAATGAAGTAGAGATTTTTTTCTGAATTATTTTGGTTTGCTATAAGTGACCTCTAATTTTCCATAATGATGAAGACTAAATACAATGTGAACTAGTCTAATTATCACATTTTCATTGAGTTTTCTTATGTTAGTTTTTCCTTCTGTGTATTTCAATTCAAGTATTGAAAGTGAAAATCGATCAAGTCACATTCTTCTATGTAAACATTTCAAACAGTCAAGAAACTGACAGGAATTTTATTTCTATTTATAATAGCAAATGGGCACGCAAGTGTGTAACCTTGTGCGTATACGTTTATCTTCACATATACTTAATTTTTATGTGGAAAATAATGGACATATACCTGAAAGTATACAAGTACGTTAAAATATGTACAACTGTTAGACTGAACAGAAGTCTTAAAATATAAACAATCGGTGAACTTATCGATAGATGTACTAGCTGCAGTGAAAAAGATATTATTTATGCAAAACGGGTTATTTTACAGGAAAGAAAACTGTTTCATTAAAAACATGTCAAAAATCTAAATGTACTGATGTTTTGGAGAGAAATGGCAAAATTCTTGTATTGAATATAGATATTCGGAGGCAACAGACATAAAAAAAATAATTAAGAACAGACCATCCTTGATAGCAGACAAAATAATAGTGACTCAAAGTATAAAAAGAATGAAATAGGTTGAGTGATTTAACTTAGAGCTAATACCTCTATAAAACATTTTTTGAACTATTTTAAGTATCATAAAATATAAAGAGTATTAGGTGTTTTCCTGAAGCATGTTTTTACTTATGTTCTTAAACTAGATATCAATTCCGAATGTTGATTTCAATTAAAGAATTTACAGTCCCTTATTCTGTCCAGTTATTAACTGAACAGAATGAGAAGTATCCAAAATTCAGTTTCAGGTTAGCAAATAATAGATTTTAAACAATAGCTTCCTAAAGACCACGATTGACGTAATCTTGTTTTTACTAAATGACTTCTTAATTTACGAAAGTTTTATTGAAAGCTGTCGAAAATAAAAATATGGTGCCTAAATTATACCCAAGTTCATTGATACACTGTTGACTGATACTTTATATTTATGGGCAATCGTGAAGTTGACTATTGCTTTTGTCCATAATGTCCATTAAACGAAAATAAAAGTAACCAAGTTTAAACAATGCAGAATGGTTTTGGTATGAAAAAGAAACACTTCTTTAGAAGTTCATGGTTAAAATGGATCATTCCAGTAGTTTTGTATTGACTTGTTTTTCTTATTTTTATTCTTCAAGGATTAACTAAAGTTGGGTCTGGTTATTAAGTTGTAAGCATTCTCATTACACATTAAGTGTTAACACCTGATAAAAACTCTACAGATGCTTGGATTATTTATGTATTCTGATACATGAAACACGTATTCTCAACAAATAATAAACCTATACTTTTTGGAGAATTTTAATGTCAGTTCGCCTGATTATTGGCATCTAAACACAGGAAGAAAGTTGAATTTTAGCCAAAAAGCTTTCCGAATTTTAAAGCGAATTTACAAGGCGTTCCAGTTTTAACTACAACAGTTTATGATGACAAGCTGTGATGTCCCAGTCTACTTCATTTCGAGTTTCTTTAATAGCACGGTAATAAAGTTGTGCTGACCTAAAGCCAATCTTCAGATACTGAAAGTATTTATACCACTTAGCTTCACCTAATCAAAACTAATCCTATAATGTACTCAGAATTTATACATTTATATACGACAATTTATTTTATAATTTATAGCATTCCAATCATCAATATTGAGTTAGTTTTAGGGTGACATTGTTTATTCATATGCTTAGTTATTTTCAACCTAATTTACAATTTAATGAAAAAAATGTGGGAGGAAGGATGTATAATCAACCTAAACTAAATCAGTAACCTACTTTTAGTGCGACCTTTTCAAACCGTTCCCCATTCGCGTCACGAACATGAAACCAGCCTTCCCACACTTTACCAAATGCTCCACACCCAATATAACGTAGAAAACGTATATTTGCTGCTGGTATCTGTGGGACTTGTTCAAAGTTGTTAAGATCAGGTTTACTAATGCCGTATAATGAGTTAACTTCTTGATTCCATAGTGGCTCAAGAGTAGCTAAATCAAGCGGTAAACCACTCGTCGTTAAATCACTACCTAGTCCCAGGATAGATGAACCATTCCCACTGCTTGAATGTAAACGTCTTGCTGGATTGAAACTAATAAAAAATGAGTGTTTGTTAGACTTTCCATCCCTGTGACGACCTGGAAACAAAACACAAAATAAACTACCTTGTATAAATCTAATTTAATTGATATCTTGAGACTAAATTAGCACTTATATGCATAGTAGTCTATCATAATTATCGTGGGACAAGTTCCATTCAGATTTAAAATTCTAGGCAGTTTAACAGTTAGAGATACTCCGTTTTAAAAAGTAGAGCATCTAGGCTCCAAATCTCAGTAAAGCTCTATTTAAGATGTTTTACTGTATGATATTAAAACGTATTATTTTTAAACAACATGCATCCTGATATTATCTCGAAAATTAAATCCAAATATATTAATGGTGAAAAGAATCTTTAATTTCACTGAATGAACTTAAAGAAATGACCAGGACAGATTGAACAATTTCTGTTCCAGTTTTCATATTTTATCAGTCTCCAAGATGCTTTATTGTTCCATTTACATGCTTTTCATAAAATAACAGTCATAATGTGACTGCTGAATCATTATCTTTGTTTTTTTATAAAAAAATGTTTTTTATCTGTTTTTCTTCCGAGCAACAAATGTTCATTATTTTTAGTCGTTTGATAAATTTGGATTGTAGAAACAGTTAAATAAAGGTGGTTAACTAATCATGTTCTACTAAAGTGCTTATCTCTGTTCCTCATAATACAAGATACTTCCTGTTTTTATTTAATACCCATTTGTTATTTTGTTTGTCTGGGACCTGATAACGAGAAAAATTGTCTGATTGGATGAAAAAAAATAGTCGAAGACAAAAGAATGTCATTTTGAATTTCCATTTAGTGTCCATACTTTATTATCTTCCCCAATTTTTGTACTTTTCTTAGGTATGAACTGTTTCATCCAAGTTACTATACCAGTATTATTTAGAGATATTTGTAAATACTTTCAATCAACCTAAACATCTGAAGCAAAAATGTGACTAAATTTGCTAAATGATTTTTGGTTATTTGGTTTTCAGTACTAACATTTGATTCAGTGATCTGAAAATGAAGGTGTTAGACTTGAAGAGTCTAATTTGAATTAGTATTATATTAATAACCAGATTCTAACTAAGGTGACTTGAGCCTGCACATCAGAGTCTCTTTATCATTAAAAAAAATATTGATCTAATGTTGGCTGAGTCAAAAATGTACGTGCACTACTCATCTCCACACGCATGCGAATTCTTCACAATTTTAAACCATATTTTGGCTTATAAAATGAAAATTTCCAAATAAATTCTAAATGGTGTTTACAGTAAGATTAGTCCAAGCTTTTCTTAAATATTCTGGCCAGTGAACTATGCTGAAAATAATCATTAAAAATATATTTTTTGGTAAATCACGACTGGTCGTTTATTAATTTACTGAGAAACAAAAACAAGGTTGCTTATTTGTAGGTTGAAATAAAATCGAGTTCAAACAGTAGGATAACTGTTTTCACAGAGTTATCCATAGATCTTTCTTTTTGCTAGGTTACCAGTTAAGGAAAAATAACCCATTGTATAGAATTTACTTTTCATTTTATAAATTAAATCAATGTAAGCATTTTACCAATCAAAGCTAATTTGTTACTTACGTCGGTAAATCAGTAGTACGATTAGGAATAGGAATAAGAGTAGCAAAGCAACGGAGAGTAGACTGTAGGACAATAAGCTTGTCACTTGATTCAGAGGTTGAAATATGGATGAATAAACCTTAATTGTAAGAAAAAATAAAACGAAGATTATGAAATATACCTGAAACATGAAAAATACACTTGGAATAAGTTCGATAATTTTTGACTAAACGAAAACAGTCCTTTCAAATATTGTAAGTAGAATTATTTAATTATTGCATAGCACATATTAAGGAGAATGTTTTTATTTTGACTGTTATTTACCGACTGAATAATGAAAAAATTACCTCAGACTGTAAACCGTTACACCCATGCACCAATCATACAAATACTCAATTAATCTTATTGAAAACAGTTTTCTTAGTCAGTTAGTTTCTATGTACTGTAAGCTGATAGGTTCACCAGTAAAGCTTTTATTATATTTCTTAGTGAAACAATCAGTACGAAGTTGAAAAGTTTCTTTGTATATACCTAAGTAGCTTACTTTGAAATGTTGCATTCGCTCTTTTGATGATTGGATCACTGGATTCATATCTCCTTATCATTTTTATGTTTAAAACTATTTATATGCTCCAGTCATTGAGAGGATATTTAGTGATGTTTAACTAGTAATTGATGTTCACACAAACAAACACTAGAAGATTGACCACATTGTGTACTTTTATGTTTTACACATTTATTCAATTACGTTTAGAAAATTATATATGATTCATGTTCCTTTGACAGTATATCCTTTAGTTGCATAGTAAAAACTGGACCAATCTTGTTCATCTCTAAGCTGGACATATTCCAGTAATCCTCGATAATTTGATAAATAACTCAGATATTTATTTTAAGAGATGACAAAATTCGTCTGTTACCTTCGATAACAGTTTTTGGGCTAAATATTCTTGACATCCCGCTTGATATTTTTTTCTGACTACACAATCTTCAAGAAAATAATCATTATACATGTTTCGGTAGTTTCCTGCAAAACACATTTGTGCAGAATGCCGTAAGTTATCGAAATGATATTTTTACATAAGTTTTATCAGCCGCATAATTACTATTACTGTAGCTGAAGATTCCATTATTATGGACACTTTTGTTCTATACCTAACCCTCAGATTTTCTTGGATTGGTCATCAGGAGTTTTTGTTCGATTTCCCCTTTAATTCAAACTTTTTGTAGTCGATATGAGTTGTTGATAAAATTGTGAACGTTTTCCAATTCCTTTTATTTAGAAGTGATAAATATACCATGTAGTAGCAAATCAAAAACGTCTGTTGGACAGCGAAACTACAATTTATGGACTGTCTGAACAGAAGCCAGTGAACGATTTCATGGTCACGGCATATATTTCAATATCCAGTACTCACGTACTATTGGTTTACAGCAGATTTCAATGAGAACGTTATAGTTAAGCGGCTACAACAGTCAGGATCAGTAAAAATTCTTTATTTGTTATAACGGTACTCTAATGACCGTTGAACATTGTCAAAACTATCGTGACGATGTTGCATTTTGATGTAATATATGTTGGATTAAAATGTTTGCTAGAACGGAGACTTTTTCCGCTTGATACTGATAGACACTAAGATAGATTATGATAATTCTTGCAAATTGGATAACAAAAGCGCCAGTAACATTGACTGAAACCTTTGCAGATGTTACTGAAGCTTAGGCAGTTCAGTGGTATGAGTACTGTCATGATATATGTGCAATGAAAATAACAAGCTTGTATCAGTCGTTTGTAGGAATCGGGAGAATCTCAGAAATCGACAAAACAGACGTTAGAAAACGCAAGTTCAATAAAAGAAGAATTGTTAAAGAAAACTGAATAAGTAGCACTTACTAAAACGTACTTAGTAGGTTCTTGGTATATATGATAGATTATCTCAAAAGGGACACTTTCAGTGCAGGAGAAATCGACAAGCTGCAACTATAATACCAGTTATACGAGAGTATATGCAACCGGACACCACAGTCTACACGCATGACTGGAGAGCATATCGATGCCTATCTAGACTTGGCTACGGGCATCGTATCGTCGCTCACAAACGACATTTTGTAGACCCCACCACGGAAGCACATGCCAATTATATAGAAGCGATCAAGTTTAGGCTAAACGAAGTTTTGTAACCTTATCATAGTTCCAAAGGTCGAATAATCTGTAGTCACATGGATGAGTTTCTGTATCGTATACATTATGATTTCAGAACTGTAGAGCCTCTTTCTAACGTTGAAAAGTGTTTAAACCATGTTAAAGAGGTGTATCCACTCTAATTTTTTTGTTTTGTATAGTATATATTTACTCTATACGGACTGTTTCTTGATTGGCTGGGGTTTCTCAAGGTCACTTAAGATCTGTCCACAGGTCGTCCATGAATTATAATCACGCCATTATTCAAAATGAAGCAAAAAGGTAACTGCTAAATTTATTTGATTCAAAATATTTACATTAGCTTTTTGTGTTAATCAGTGATAAATTCGAACTATCATTTGTTATTTACCTTTTGTCCCATAATGAATCAGAGAAGCAAAATGTAGTTTGGGTCTGAATTACTTGACTAAATAATAACTCGCGTTAAGTATTTATATTGGCCAACTTAGTTTACGATACACATTATTTGTGGGTACACTAAATAAGACCAGATCTGGTTTATCAGATGACTAATTTTGTTAATTATCACGTGAATGAAAGTTACTCCTTTGATATGCTTTTTCAATTTTCTTGACCGAGAAAAAAGTTAAAAATCACATTAGAATACTTAGTAGACATAAAGCAATCTTACAATTCATCAGGAATTATTAGGGAACTATCAACAGTCAAATATTTAACAACAAAGTGGACAGAAATAAAAGACATTCGTTCTACATTTTTAAAAAAGAGTTTCAGAAAATACTTGTCCACATTACAGTTATGTGATACATTTCTAATCTTTTATGAAATAATTATAACGCCATTTATGTTAAAATTAGTAGTCACATATTAGGATGATCTATATAGCTGTCTGAAATTGTTTATATTGGCGAGTCAAATTTCGTTTTGCAAAATTTTAGGTGAATTACAAATAACATATATGATTTTGACAAACTCGAATTCCTTGAATAGTTTCACAGTATTTAGGCGCCGTGTTGATGTAAGACATTAAATAGGAATAACATATTTGTAAAATCTCAGCGAATGAATTTGAAGTAAATCCAACGTATTTTTTTCTTGAAGAAGCTTCGACCAGATTTCCAGGCGAAACGTTGGATTTACTTCAAATTCACTCGCTGAGATTTTATAAATATATCATTCCTATCTAATATCAAATTCATCGAGTTATACGTTATCTTGGTCAAAGTTTTGTTACCGTATAAAATAATAATTTGAGAAGTTAAGAAGCCACAATAATTGTGACAGCCTCTTCTGACCACTTTGAATGCTATTGACCATAATCTTACTTTTTGAACGTCGATTCGAATCGAAAAATTGTGTGAATTTTACAGGATCTCTAATACATTCCATTCTTTCCACTTATAGGTAATATTTGCTAACATTTAGATGCTATCAGTAACTTACTCTGTCGCTGCCTATACTGTTCTGTTTAAGAGGTAGGTCATTTGTAAGTACTCATCAAGAATTAAAAACTATAAAACGAAATGTATGTTTAGTGCTTATATATTTTGTCTGTCAGTTTGTACTTAAAACCATTTTCAGGTAGTCACCTATCTTTGTGAACTTCAGTAGTAAGCTGTGCATTCATATATCTAGTTAGGTGAAAATGTTTTTAGTTTATAAAAGATTTTAGAAATCTTATCATGATAACATTTCTTTAAGTACTCAGAATGCACTGATATACCACCCTTTATTTGCAAACCTACGATAATACTACTAAAACTTTAAATAAGTAGTTCAAAATGTACTTCAAATTTATATGGACAGACAGTAATTCGGAGAAAGTACGCTATTGGGGGGCATGACGTTTTAGAGTTCTTACAATTAATAAATATATAATTTCATTGGAAATAGTTTATTCAAAATATGCCTGAGATCATGGGATTTTTTATCTGTTTTGCTCATCAGCAAGCAACAGCTGTTTTGTTAATCTTCAAAGAGAATAGGTAGTGCAAGCGGTACCTGTTGTTTTGTTCGTTTGGCTTATTCATTAACTGATTTCCATGATATAAGAATTTTTTATCCTAGGATTTTCTGACCTCTTCTGCCCATCTGTCTTTGATACTCATGAATGTTTTCCGCTAAAAACCTACGCACAGACATTAATTTTTCAAATATAGTAAATCAGTAAGTTATTCTGTGCTTTAATTGCATATGGGACACATGCATTTCTGAGCGAATCAAATATGTATATATTTACATATGATATTTTCAAGAGAAACAAAACTTTCGTTTCATATTAGACGAATTTTTACAGACATATATAGTATGTCTTCTCGTCTACAACATGTACGCTGTTAACCATCAAGCCTGGTTGTTTGTGTGACTTGCATGACATACTTAAAACTGTAGGAATAGTAAAAAAAGTGAATAAAAGAATACTCTCTGGAATTCGAATTTTCCTCATGGTAGACTTATGATCTGTCTCAATCGAACTTACATAAAAAGATATTATTTCGAAATCGTAAGACAATAAGCTATTTGACGAATGTGTATAATATATTGAGTGAGAATCAGTGTAAAAGGAAATAATCGTCAGTCATATATATGAACAGCACAGGCTTTTCTATTATTAGAAAATAAGAAATCCGCTTATCCATCGACCATCTGATAGTTTTACAGTTGTGATTTTGATAGATACTTCTCATTGCATATCAGTATAAACTGACAATAATCAAAACAATATCTCTAACATGCGTAAGTGACACTGGGTTAATTTCTGTTAAATATCCACTGAAGACTTTGAAACATACAATTTCATTTGTGTTTTGACCATCCACTTTAAATGTTTATACAGAGAACATCTCCGCCTAAATTGAAATTAAGGTCATTTGACCCTTGCATTGGATCTATTTGTGATTTAACAAGATACAATGTATTCTGTTTAGATTTGCTACTAAATTATTTTTTCTAGTCATTTAGTCAGCTAAACCAATAACTGTATTAGATGAACATCGTTTCTTGCCGGAAAAGACTAGATTTTAAATGATTTGCTAAAACAATCATAAATTTAGAATTGAATTCAATGAACTTTGAAAATTGAAGCTAAAATGTTGACATTAAAAAGCATTAGCTAAACAAAATATATACTTATCTGGAACTTTTTGAAATGGTGGTCTTATGATCAAGTAAGCTGGATCACTCATTCCAATCTTATTGACAGCTCTCAACTGAAATGCACTTTGGTGATTCGTATCCAATGTGATATTAGCTTGTTTATCTGTTAAATTATGTGGTGTAATTGAATCCCATTTTGGTTGTTCTGAATTACTTGAGACAATTGGCCTACAAATAAAAATAATATATTAAATTTAAAGAGAAAACGTACACAACATAGTTAAACTGATCATGACCGTGGTCCGCTTATGAAGCATACAGCAAGCAGTAATTAAATGGATAATTTCAAGTTAAAGGGAAAATATTATCAAGAATTTGATGGATTCAGTCACTCTAGAGCCTAGAAAAATAAAATATCCGTTCAATTTAGTCACATTTAGAACCATTCTAGATAGGTAAACTAAGAAAAATTACAAAGTAAGAGTGGACCAAAAAGCAAGTGTATCCTGTTTTAATAGTCCCTTCTCAAATGAATGTATGACACTGATAGAGATTTTTGAATAGCATCTCTAAGCCTTTGGACAACAAATTTAAAATGACTTACTCATTTAAAAGGATTTAGATTGGTACTAACTAATGAATAGTTTATATATGGTTTAATCTTATTTCTTCCAGTGTGATATGTCACATAAGCAGTTGTAAACACCAAGTAAATTCAAAGAAAAGACTTTTACATCGTTTATTTCCATGTGATTATGTATTCATCACATCAAGTTCAACAGGACAATAGCCTTATTACACTATGGCTTGACATCATATACCAGGTAAACTTAGGGGAATATATTCATAGTCAAATAGTGACCGAAAGATGTGACAATTAATATTTAAGAAACGATTTAAGAGGTAATGTTGCGATCAATAAAGGGTTAAGACAAATATTAACGCTTGGAAACTGTTAGTTAAACAACTGTCGAAGGGTCGTAACGATTTAAAATTTCACCCAAAATTTTGTTGTCCAAACAAAATTATACTAGTGAACCAGTAGTGGATTTCCTCAAGTTATTAAAGGAATGAAGATGGTCAAAGGTAATCAAGGTTTTGAATATAACTACATATCTTTAATCTCTTTCGTAGAAAAGTAACTCAAAATAATGAACAGATCATTCCTTTTATATAAATACATTAATTGTTTTAGATGATGGAGTCATACTAGGTTTATGAAAATCTATCTAGACTACAATGTATACTGTTAATGACTAGAAGTGAGCTGTAACAATATTTAAAATATAATTGTAGATATTAGTGGATTTAAATGAATTTTCCGTTATCCATTGACAGTAACTCCTTGAGAAACTTTTCAAATTTATAGAAGAGTAAAATAGAGCTTAATTCTATGGGCAAACTCAAAACGATGAAAATTTTCGAATCTATGTCTGTCCTATATATATCATGAATTTAGTGGTGCTGAACAAATAAATCCCGTTACATCAATTTGCTTTACAATAAAAATTATATTCTCCTTTTGAATTGCATTTAAGTTATAATATGCTACGACGAAATTTATGATAACAACATTAAACATACTTTTCTGTCCCTAAGTAGAACTAGTGATAGGGCACATATACTTATAAATATGTAAGTAGAACAGAGAGGTGGGAGAACAAAAGTAAGAACTATATGTTCTTTAGAAATAGATATTTATCATAAGATTTACTGATTTAGAGATTTTGGAAACATGTGTAATATTTTCGGAGATATTCATCCGCGTGACAGATAATTGAATTTATAAACATATTTCCTTATAATTGTGTTTAGTTCATGGTTGATATGAAGCTAAAATATTAAACTAACCTAGTACTGAAGAAGATGCGAGAAACGAAGCGACACCTAAGATCACAAGGCAATAATTAATCGAAAAAAATGACTTCTTAACCATCCGACTTGTCATATTGGTATGTGTAATTTTGTAACCTAGGTTGTTTGATGCATATTTTACATAGTCTGAAGGCGATTCCCGTCAGGAGTTGCCAATGAATAACGAACCATTAAGATTAGATATATGAATCATTAGACAATTAATTGGTTGTCTCATACCCTTTATGATGCCTGAAAGTTTTTAGTTTGAACTTCTAAGAACTTTATGAAAAGAGCAGAATAGTTGTTTGGTGCTCTCTGATTGTCAGTAGCTTTCCGGTTGAATAATATCACAAATTTATGATAGGCTTCTTATTATACTGATTTCTAATTAACGATCGGAATGTTAAACATCTATTAACTTCGAAACTTGTGAGTAGTTATTAGTATTTGTTATTCAACCACTCAGTTAACAGTGTAACTGATATGTACTCTCCCGGAAATAGAAAATAAATAAATATAGTATTTAGTATCTCTGACTTCTGATCAAGATACCAAAGAAAGGTGATCTCACCAAGTGTGATAACTACAGGGGCATCGCTCTTCTCTCAATACCAGGAAAAGTTTTCAACAGGGTATTGTTAGACAGAATGAAGGAGTCCGAAGACACCTAACTTCGAGATCAACAAGCTGGATTCCGTGAGGATCGATCGTGTACAGACCAAATCGCCACTCTACGGATCATTGTGGAACAATCAATTGAATGGAATTCATCACTCTACACCAACTTCATTGACTACGAGAAAGCATTTGATAGCGTGGACAGGACAACACTATGGAGGTTTCTTTGACATTACGGTGTGCCTGAGAAAATAGTCAATAACATACGGAATTCCTATGATGGATTAAACTGCATAGTCGTGCACGGAGGACAGTTGACAGACTCGTTCGAGGTAAAGACCGGTGTCAGGCAAGGTAGCTTACTCCCACCCTTTCTCTTTCTCCTGGTGGTCGACTGGATCATGAAGACGTCAACATCTGGAGGGAAGCATGGGATACAATGGACAGCTAGGATGCAGCTGGACGATTTAGACTTCACAAATGATCTGGCTCTTATATCACAAACGCAACAACAAATGCAGGAGAAGACGACCAGTGTAGCAGCAACTTTAGAAGCAGTAGGTCTTAATATAAACAAAGTGAAAAGTAAGAGTCTCCGATGCAATACAGGATGCACCAATCGAATCACACTTGACGGAGAAGCTTTAGAGGATGAAAAACCCATTACATATCTGGGGTGCATCATCGATGAACACGGTGGATCTGATGCAGATGTGAAGGCGCGGATCGGTAAAGCAAGAACAGCATATTTACAACTGTAGAACATCTGGAACTCAAAAAAATTGTCAACCAACACCGACATCGGAATTTTCAATACAAACATCAAGACAGTTTTACTGTATGAGGCGGAAACCTGGGGAACTAAGAAAGCCATTGTCCAGAACATATAAGTGTTTATTAACAGTTGTTTACGCAAAATACTTCGGATCTGTTGGCCAGATATTATCAGCAACAACCTACTGTGAGAGAGATTAAACCAGATTCTATCCGGCAGAGGAAGAAATCAGGAAGAAGTGCTGTAAGTGGATAGGACACACATTGAGGAAATCACCCAATTGCGTCACAAGGCAAGCCCCCACACGGAATCCTGAAGGTCAAAGGAAAAGAGGAAGACCAAAGAAAACGTTACGCCGACAAATGGAGACAAAAATTAGGAGAATGAACAAAAGTTGGATAGAATTAGAAGGGAATGCCCAGGACAGAGTGGGTTGGAGAATGCTGGTCGGCGGCGTATGCTCGATTGGGAGTAATAGGCGTAAGTAAGTATGTAAGTATCTCTGAACATTATATTTATTTTACAACACTACTTGTGTATTTCGGAGTTCAACTATTAACCAGTTAACAATCCAATATAAAATTTATATTCTTTGCGTCGGAAATATAATAAATCTACAAATCTTGATATGTTATTCAGAAATACCAAAGAACGCAAGGAAAATAAGATTGAATTCGTGTATTATAATATATACAGTAGTTAATAATAACGCTAAAGTCAGTAGCTTTTTACTAGTTGAATGAATCGAAAAAGAAATTTCCCCACAAGTCAAAAGTGGCGAAGATAAATATACTGGGAAGCAATTGGTAATCTTATCTAGGAGTTTCTAATCATCAACAACATGGTATAAATTCAGTGTCGTTTAAAAATTTATCAAAAGACCTTAACGTGGTTTACAGATGTCTCTAAGGATTTAGACTTTGATTTTAAAAAGAGGTAATCACATGATTTTTTTTCACTTTTGACGACAACAGCCCATACGTCACGTCAATGAATTAGTTATATTTTTTCATTAACAATTTAATAACAGTGTTTTTCAACCCACCATATGTTCGCAATTACGTTTTACATAAGTGAAGACACCTGTTGTATTTTGCTTACACTGATAGTTTTTTGCGTTTGTTACTAGCTTAAATAGTATGATATTTATAATAAAAGGCAATCATAGTTACCTGGTGATCCCTGATTCGGATTTTTAGGGAAGAAAAACGTAGTCTAAATTTGTTGTATGGTGTTAATGAAATCCATAAGTTCATAAAGATATTTTTCATATTTAAAAACACACTACTTACAACTGGTTTGCTTCAAGCTGATAAAAACTTTATTATTTGTTAAAACAATAAAGCACTCGATTACTGAAAACTAAGCGAATTGCAATTGTTTATACCCAATTATAGTAGACAGATTAAAGGTGACTGCCTATAATTGTGATGAGCAGTTACACACTTTTGTGGCAGTAAATTGGAATGATATCAAGTGATAGAATAATATCATTAAGTAACTATGTAAGTCGATGGATTCTTGATCTATAAATTGAAGGCATATACATTTTCAATCGAGATCATAAGTTTTATATACAGTATAGTAGGATGAGTCATGAATATCTACTATATGTTACTTAAAAAGAAAAAGAAAATTCTCCTCTCCCAGTGGTTGGACAAAATATTATATCCTTCTAACAGCGTACTTATTCTTGAAGAATTATTCTGTAGATGTTTTGTTCCCCATTGGAGCCACGTCATTTTTCTAAATTTACCTTTTCTTAGGATAACGAATTTCAAATATTGTGATGTAATAAGTTTTATATCCAGTCATGCCTAGTCTAAAAACCAACTGAACTGTTTATTTTTCAGGTGTTGATAACGGTGTTTCGAAAGGTTGGTTCCTATTATAGTTAAATGTAATCAAGTATATAATTAACAACTACTCAGTGTTCGAGTACTATTTTCATAGTGTTTAATCCATTTATAGTTATGTCAAATAACATTGTATGTAACTTAAGGACTTTGGTGACTTACATTTATTTAGGAATAAACTGGTAATTACGATGCTGTTATTGTATTGGTTTGAACTAAGTTAGTTAACATATGAATAGGCATCAAAAATATTTTGATTCACTAATATTAACATACTATGGCTAATAGTAAAGTAAATTCCTTTGACATTTCTTTTATAAAGTCCCTCATTATCTATTTGTTTAAGAAGTCTTACCGAGACAGAAAATTTTCGATTCTAAAAATTTTCAATATCAGATGTGTGTGCATGCAAAAATGTTCAGCTCATCTGTCACTTAATAATAAATGCTTATTATTTTATCAGAGTAAAATAAAACATTTTCAGATTAATGACTAAAGGAAATAAAATAACTTGAGTGTTTAGGGTGGACGTGTTTAGTAAACTCCAGACAAATTTATATTTGATTCATAGTCATGGTCTTGATCGGAAGTGTACCCAAACACATAATATAGTTGTATTAATGGAATACTCATTTGTCTCCACATGAAATATCTTTAGATTTCTTAATATTTCATCATAAAATTTAGATTTTTTTAGCGTCTTGTTGCTGCGCTAATGCGAAATAAAAAAGGGTTTTGAAAGCTAGCCAACTCAGAATTACGTATTATCTAAGTATATTTAAATTTCAGCTACTTTATCCTGTCAAATATATATTTGACAATAATCTGTACAGTCAAACAATTTGTATATCTGACTCCGTCGCAATGAAGGTCTCGATTTAATTTTTTTCATTTATTCCCAGATTTGTGACTTTGGACAACACATTATCAAGAAGTCAAATGTGAAATGTTTTCAATGATTATATTTCATCCAAAAGTATTTCCTAATCGTACCGTAAGAGTAAGTCGAACATATTTAAATTGATCAGACGAATCATTCAATGTGTTTATTGTTGATTGCATTCATATATAGATTAAGTGAACAAAGTTTAATATAAATTAATGAATGGAGACGAGTATACATATGCATAGTAAATGTTCATGAATGAAAGGTCATAATTAACCGTTTGCGAATACATGTAATGTAATCAGTAAGTTCTCGGTGAACTACGCAATGATCGTATAAGTATTCCTATCTGCATTAGTTCACAAAAGAGCTTCTATCAATCTATCTTGTCAATTCATGATTGGACTATAAAATTTACTTGTGTCTATTGAATCCCATATATATGAGATGCCTGACAAAAAATATTGATGAAAAGTGTTGCCGTGATTATCACCTTCTACCTCTCCATTTATTTGCTTCGAAATTAACAGTTAACAGTAATGAGATATTTAGGGAAGAAATTACGCAACGTGTGTAAGGTAAAATTTCTCTATTTAAACTATATACGAATTGAACAATGACAAATTTGATTTTTATTAACTTTTTATCATGGTTTAATGCTAATAAGTATGTTTTATAGGTGTTGATAAAAACCACTGCCAATCAGGTTACCGTAAGGTAGTTAGCAATATTTCTAAGTTTAAAGTTATCTATAAAAACTAAACAATAATGGGATTGTAAGCAAAGATGGATAGTGGATAGCAGTGGAATCCAGGACGCGTGTTTCGTCCTATTTGGGACTCATCAGCCGAATGTACCTGCATCTCAGAGTTGATGTTCACTCTGGGACTCGAATCCAAATAGGACTGCTATCCACTATCCATTTTTGCTTATAACGCTATATATATATATATATATATATATATATATATATATATATATATATATAAGGCTATATCGAGGCAATACGCACAGTATGCACATATGGCTAATAAGAGACGGACCAGTTGCAGTCCTAAACATCAATGGGAAGATACAAACAAACAATACTAAGTGAATAATAGGATTGGTGTGAACGGGTCAATTATAATATTTAAAGACTTTATAAAATGAATTATTATCTAGAATAGGTTACTACAAAATTCAGAGATAATAACAAAAGTAATATCTCAATTTAATGCTTTAAATTCCTTAACAGTTAGGAAATCACAGCAACAATTGTTCGACGTTCAAAGAGATTTCTGTTTAACGTGTACTCAAATTGTAATTGTCTATCGAAAAATATATTCTTAGAAGTCTTTGTAACAGTCAATGTGTCCGACTTATTTCAAACAACGAGCATATTTTACTAGTTCAGTTGATATAGATACTTTGTCCAACTATCATTTATAAAAGGGATTAACTTCGATGTACTCGAACAGATAGTCAGGAAAATAAGCCAACAAATCTGATATTTCGTTATGAGTTTTGCAGTGTTTGGCATCTCAATAATTTATATCTTTTGTAAGTATAAACAGATGCCATTCTCAATGATTCAATTCAAATAAATTTAAAGCAGGTAGGTTTATTACAATAATTGCACAGATGGAAAATAGATGGCTCGAACTTTTGAGTAAACCGTCTTAAATGGCATTATGATTTAATAGTCACACGCATGCTCTGATTATAAAAAGCGTATTTAATAATGAACAAATTAGCTCTATGCAATCCAGCAATTTTTATTATTTATCAATTAAAGTTTTTTTCTGACACCATAAATCTGTTCAGTTTCATTTATGCCTTTAAACTTCATTTTATAAAAAGGATTATTGCAGGAAATATGCTAAAAACATCACTGTACATTAGCTACCAGCTATTTGTTCAATCAATCCTTTTATTGAGCAACACGTCTGAATATATGCTAATTAATGTGTACAAACAAAGAGACAGACTGAAACACAGTGCTCGGTATCCTATTTATCCCAATCGGCCACATTTACAACTGTACACACATACACAAACATGGAAACGAAGAAAAATATATTATCATTGGTAGTTTTTTTAATCTAAATTGACGGTAAACTGTGTGGAAAGACTTATGCATGTTTCCTAGATATTGGTCAGATGGCTGCCTTAATCTTATTTTCCCAGATGTTTCTGTAAATTATAAACACTATCCATTTTCTAGTGATTACTGGTGTTTGCTTGTTTGTTCTTGCCCCTCGACTATGTGGAAAATGGAGACAATTAATGTCTTTTTTTTCGTAGTAATGAAAGAATTACATATATTTGTAAAATTGAATTAAATTGGTGGAATCAACAGTAATCTGTAACTACTGGGAGATATTTATACAGTGAGAAAGAGGCTGATCATCAGTTTTGATATGAAATTAGAAATAATAGTTATTAAAATAAATAACAATGACATACATAGACTTCATGTTGTACGTAAAAATCGGTTCTCCATTATCATTGTTCGGTGTCCACTCGAGAGTGTATTGATTACCTTGCATATAGTGATATCGTAGATCCAATGGTGCATCAGGAACATCAGCTGAAAAATTTGTTGAAAATTATACTAGTAATATATGTCCTCTATAAACAAAGTCTCGATTCAACAGAAACTTCATTTGAGGTTCGTACTTTCTTCTAAGCAATATAAATCATTTGACAGAAACAGTTTTAATATACAACTTATCTAATATTATAAGAATAAGCATAATATTATGAAACTAACCAAGAGATGCTTTTTTCAGTTTTCTTAAGTTGGAAAACTCAACTATCGTTCCTAACATTATCACTAAGTTGCAGTAAAGCATCGATAATCCACTGAGTAATGAAATTGTTAAATCTCTAATCCTCATAGTTTTTCATTGCAAATAACATGCAGAATGATTTTTGCCAGAAATTCAAGCATATAAAACCCGATTTATCAGTATCCATTTTTTAAAATGATGTTATTAAAGACTGATCGATCAATCAGCTTTCCTATAAGTGCATCCTGATTAGATTCTCTAAGTATCGTCACTCCGTTACAATTCCTGATTAAAATTGAATAGTAGCTAGCGGTGGAACTCAGTATACGTGTTTCGTTTCTATTAGAGGCTCGTCAGATGAGTGTGGTACCTGAATCTTAGGGTTGATGATCACACCAAGACTAGAACGCGGTACTTTTAGCTTCAAATCCAAATGCGTTATCCATTTAGCTACTGAGACCAGATAGCCTTTGATCTATCTTGTGTGGGGGATTTCAGTTACAAAGTCAATGTTATTTGTTCTGAGATGTTGTAGTCGACTTACCAGGTGTATTTCATTTTTCAGTAATCTTGTTTATTAGAAATATCGTAGATAACTACATAGTTTTATTTACCGCTGAAGAAACTGAAATTATCATTTTCACCAAATCAAGTTCTAAAAAAGATTGAATGGCTGTCTAACTTAGATTTGTGTGTAATTTCACTGACATTCAGCAATCTCCACAAACCCGTATACTGATAGCTATCATGGGGTAGCTAGTGTTCAAATGAGTATTCATTACTAGTAGAGTTAAACAATACTTTGAGTTGGGCGAACGTAAACATGTAAAACAGTACATACTACCCCAGTGGTCTAAAGTTAAGAACTCTCGGAGAAAACTGAAGATCATTAGTGCTGTCCACGATGGAGTTGTGGACGAGCAGTCATTAGGAATTCTGTACTTGGACTAAGCAACTGTTCAGTGATCCCTGGTCTTTAATGTTTATCTAGTTAAGGTCAGTTTATGATCTCACTGAAATGGAACAGATGCGCGAATAAATAAACGAACTTCTTTTACCCTATAGGATAAAATAATTATGATACAGTGGGGTCATAAATTCGCCTTCTAGTAAAAAGGGACGCTTTCATTGTAAGAATGTAATTATCAAGGGTTTTCTCATGAAACACTTCATTTACATTGCAATTTAGAGCACTGAAAAGCAAAAATCTAATTTAAAGTCTATTCAGAAACCTCATAATATGTTCTTGTTATAAAATTTTAATGAATAATCCTTTTTTATCTCAAGAATTCAACGGAAAACGCTGATAAGAAGGACATGGTTATGTTTTATTACAAGATAAATTAGTACTTACGGTATGTTTTACAAGCGCATATATCTTTTGATCCAATCTTTGGGAATCGATCAAATGTACTGTTTTCATATATCAAATTTAACCCAAATTCGTATAACCGGTTAGGTTTGAGTGAAGTGATCGTATGATTACGAAATTTAACCCCTGAATGTCCCCATCCATAATCAGACATAGTTGTGAATTTCGGTTGGTGGAACTGACGTCAAAATAAACCGGTTTAATATACAATAGGAATATGGGAACAAGATATAATACAAGTGTTATTACTTGATGAGTGGAAAATATTATATGTAAAAAATATGGATAAAAACGATATCACAACTTCTTTTTATTAAAATATTTGGCTACGTTCAAATTTTTTGATACAAATAATAGCTCCAATGCCTAAAATCTTTATAACACATGTGACTTTCTGTTATGAATACCTTAGAAGCTAAGGAATGAAAATAATCGAAAAATCAAAGTACTATCTAAACTGCCTACAAAGTAATGATTAGCTGTTTAATCAACTACTAATATGGAAACTTTAAAAGGTTGGTTGACGTAAGGCAATGACATCATAAACGACTTTCCCTTGTTGTATCAAACCTTAATTACTGTTGAGACGAAAATGAAAATGATGGATTCTAAGCACTAACTAATTAAATCATCGGGGGGTACAAAAGTGTATGATATTTCCAAAACTTTGTGTGGCCTTGAGAGACATTAAAGTCATACGTTGTCTTTCTTTTTCTTTAGCTGTTCATATGATAATTATTTATAATAAATTGATGTAGAACATAACCGAATTTTATATAAAAGATTGAGAAACATACAAAATATTCAAAATGAAATTTTCACAGAAACCAGAATATACAGAATGCTGGATTTGAATAATCTTTATGCATTTGCTTTTAAATGATCTAATCTGGACTTCATTTATAAGGTTTTCCTGTTAGAATAACTTTCATTCGAAGATTGATCATAATCTAATCCTCATTGAAACACAATGAGACGTGATTGTATATAGTTGTCAAAGATCAACATATAAGCAATGAATCGTTGCTTTCATAAACTTTAATTTAGCATGAAGAAGTAAATCGTTATTCTATTGCAATGGAGCACACATCAGTCAATAAAGAACATTTGGACGCAGATCACGTTCATAAAGAATATGTACATGGGGCAAGGAGATTTACATAAACAAAGATAAAATTATTAGTTATTGGAAAAACTTTCTAATTCTCTCAAAGCCTACTTGATACTTGGAAAAACAGCCTACTAGATAACAAACTGAAAAGTTCAGGTCGCGGTTCATAATCACCAAGTTTTTGAACTATTTCGCATAATTACAATCCCCTCTTATTAATATCATTGAAATAAAGTGATGTCAAGAAATTGTGAAAATAGTTTTAAGTTATTGGATTAGCTGATTATTTTGCTAAGACAAAGCAATAAACACTCTTCGGTCCTTGATCATATACCAGAAACCATTATGAATTAGTGGGATAGTTTAAAAAGACAAGTTTTGATCTGAAAAAGATAATATAATATTTGAGCTTTAAATTCCGGACGATCTGGTCACCTATTCGTATGGAAACTAAAGAAGATCAATTCAATAAAAGCTCAGATAAACATTAATTAATAACTGTAAATACAGGAGAGAGAAAAATTAATATAATGTAGGAAGAATAGGAAATTGTCACAACACTGTAGGCCGTAGAATGTATTCAAGATCAGTAAGAAAATATTCATGGTTACGATAGTTGATTCTGTTCACACAAATAGGGTTTGAAGTTGCGAATAGCCATGCTTTCAATAAACCTAAGAAGTTATCTCTGACAAATTCTATACAATGTTTTATAAGCTATCCTGATGTCAATTCTATGGCTCGTTTCAATTATTTTTCGTTATTGTGGTTTCTACCTCCTATATTTATTGGGAAATTCGACACCAACGATTGACACACCACTAAAAGTGACCATCGAGAAAACACGCAATGATGTTAAACTGATTCTTACTAATGAAACTAAACCCATGATTCGACACAGTTCTAAACAAAGCGCGAACGATTACATCACGTCCCACTTCATTAACCGATTCACGTGTTTGAGTGAACACACACATAGGGAGGAGTAATCGACCAATGCAACCTAGAGTTATTATCTTTTTCAGATCAAAACTTGTCTTTTCATAGAACTATCAAAGTCCTTTTAAAACGGTCTAACTACATTGAAATTTAAGTCATTTTACAGAAAAATGATCTGGTGTTTATTCATTAAATCAGTAGTTCAGCTTAAAAACATAAATATAATATTATCTATGACCTAACCTTTTGCTGTACTCAATTTATATTGGATTGATGATACAGTAGGTTAGATTTACAAATAAGCTAGTTGAATTCAGAACCATAAACTAGTAACCTTAAATAAGACCATCAGGTTAATATGAAAATGTTGATTGTAAGAAACAAGAAATGGACGTCAATACCTTCTCAAGGCATAAACTAGAAATGTAGACAAGCTCTCTTCACATACATTCATAATTTTTTTTATAGTTTTCTTCAAAATCTTTGTCTATCTACCTACTCAGATATTTTAAATGGATACTTTTAATCGTATTTGGTCATCGTAGATGTTTCGCCCTTTCAACTGGTTTACAGAATTTACTAGCTTGTTAAGTGTACGCATACACATGTATTTATCACTGTGTTTGGATGACAGAGTTTTAACGGGATCACATGAAAGTAAATACATAAACCATGTTTTAGTAACATGAAATATTAAAGTGTGAAGTCACGGGAAGTCTGAATGCCTAGTAGAATTCAAGGTAAAAATGGTTTCCACATGTCTAGATTTAGACAAATAATGACATTTGTCATATGTTTAACTTTTAATGATAGTATTCATGTTAAAATTCAATCAAAGAATGTTATAAGTATACATATAATATGCATGTAGATTATCAGCGTCTTGAAAAAATAAAAATATATGGACACATGTACTATAATTTGACTCGAAGTATTCGACTAAAGTGTGTTGTCAAAACAACATGAAAAACGTATTCCTGAATATAGAATATCAGTGAAATGAAGTTGAAACAGTAAGTTTTGTGAGAAGTTACTGTACTATCTAGTTCTGATACCTATAAACCCTGTTTCTGGTAAACATGTTTGTTATATTTGAGGAAAACATTGTCTTATCATTTATGCTACGATATAAAAACTATTTCAGAGTCAGCTGTCATTAGCATTGAAAATAGGTTTCATCGTAGGAAATTAAATCATTGAAAATGAGGAAGTAATAGACGGTCATACATATCTTGTTGTTTGAATGAATGACATTTCTTAAGTGCTGCTAAAACACTTACAATCAATGTTATGTGCTCTTCAATTTTAGGTCTTGTTAAATAAAACATTTTTTAACGAAACCACAGTTTTTATAGCAGACCATTTACTTGTTTTATTTCAAGGGATTCATGAAGATCCGAGTGGAACTTTATATTTTGGAATACAAGAACAAATATTAATAGTCTGAATAAAATTAGTCTGATGTGCAGTAGTCTATTTATATGGTTTGTTACGTCCACTGTAATTTTAAAAGATTTCCCTTTGAAAATGTTAACAGACAAAATTTCTTTGGTCAGGAGTTTCACGCTAAAATATTGCAGTGCTATTATGGTCTTTTTGGAATGGCAGTACAAAATACGACCCACTGGCTTCTGTGGTTCTTTGTTTCTCATTTCAAACATTTGAAATATTAAAACTGACGATTGTTAGTGGATCAATTCAGACGTAGATATCTTCGAAATAGGACTCATTTGGATAGGTGATAAAGTTTGTCCTTTGACCTTATACCAAATTACTTTTTATATGTTATATGATAATTGTAAAAAATTGACTATGTTGTTTAAACTTGAGCTCAGATCTTTTCTTGAAGTATTTATATTTATTTATAACCCATTGCATGTGCTTATCTTACGATGACCTTTGACTCACCAGGAGACAATAAAAAGTACTGTTTGAAAGGATATTAAGTGACCAGTATTTAGAAAAAAAAACGAATAATTGTGGGCACAAAATAAGAAATAGGAACCAACATTTTATTTTAGATTGAACACGTCTTTCATACTCTGTTTGTTTTTAGGTTCCTGCAATACAATAGAATTTGCTTCATCTACAGTTTTGACTCCCTCATCCTTCATTATTAGTATGATATCGTTTAACCAGACGAATCTCCCCTCTTATTTGTTCGTCGCTAGACTAATGCTATATATTCGAGGTAATCTGAAAACTGGCCTCTTAAAAATGTGATACCTTGGTATTACTACGACTATTAAATGCAAAAGTTTGTCATAATTAGATTTTTACGTCGATTTAATTGAGGATTCTGCAGTGCCTTTAAACAAGGCAATCGTATTTTATGTTTTTATTATAATGTGGAAACTACATCAAAGCAATAGAGTGAATTTAAGTATTGATTCCATCAAATTGATGAATTTATTGATTGTTCAGTGAAACAACAGTTGACCAGTGAAGCTGCAGAACACGATTCCAAACGGAAAAGCTCATTTGTAAGGACTTGTTTGTGAGGGAAAGTATTGAAAAGCATCTAAGTACTAAAAAATGAATATGCTTTCAAAAATAATGAAGGTGCATTTGAATGTATTCGTTTCACATGAAACAGTTTCTTTTGAAAAAAATCTATAGAGCCTAGATTTATAAGAACGTAATGATAAACTGTTTGCAGAAATGAACTGCTCAAATTAGTGTTAATATCTCTACATTTTTCGTCTATTTGCTCTCCTTATCTATTGTATACTGTTTGTGTAAAAACTAAGTAACACATTGCTGAAATTAGAAATGTGAATTAATGATTGATAATACACATGTTTAGATGTAACGTATTGACCACGAAGTTAGAAAGCCTCAAATTTGACTTGAGGTGAGGGACATGGTATATTTTGACGACGACTCCTAGATTATGGTGAAAGATCTCCCAGTGCTCCTCTGTTTTAAGTAGCTGTTTAGCTAAACCCAGTCTGTGGTGTAAAATAACAATACTTCTCTATTTGATACAAATTCATGATCCGTATTTACTTTCTAGAATCGTTCCTGTTAATACAATATTCACTGCTTACAGTTATATTAAACGTTGTTAATTGAGCCCTTTACCAATTTTATGAAAGTGATGCTTTGTTTGAGCTTAAGAATACTAC